TACCGAAATCTGGCACTTCCGGTAATTGCCCAAGACGTTGCTGTAGTTGTATTCGCTTTCTCTGTTCTCCAGGCCGACGGCGTACTGTTTTTGGCCTGCCCTTAGGATTGCCTAAGATTGGAGGAAGACAAAGACCGCCCGGAACCGCTGCTGGACCACCTAAATCCAAGTGCGTTCTAGGGTCTGGTTGTCCCCAGGGTCCAGGTCCTAGTAGGTTAATATTTGAGATGGACGGTGGAGATCCATAAGTTGGTGACCGAGGCCAAAACACACTGAGTTCGCCAGTTGGAGTACTAGTAAGAGTAGTTTGTGAATCGGTACGAATTGTGGCTAGCTTAAAAAAGGCTTTAGTACCATACGCACAAGGGCGCTCGGTGGGAATGACCCAATTCCGTTCCTGAAACTCCTCTGTTTCCCCAATGCCCTGAGATTCGGATTCCCGTAAGTCTTCAGCTAAAAGATGAAGAGTGGTGGTTAAGAGCCCGCGATTAACCCTCTCACCAGATGCTATATAATTGAGCTCTAAATCCTCCAGGTTTGCATCAAAAGGGGTTAAGAGAGGTGTGATATCGATTGGCTGAATGTTGTTCTTGTAGGTATCTCGGAAGACCTCAATGCTAAGGTTCTTTGGCATGTAGTCGGCTGGTTCTTTACGGAGAGAGTAGATGCAAGCAAGAGCATGGCCGCATGGAACTCCGTTTTCTTGGTAGCGACCACATGAGTACCAAGCATGGGCAAGATGAACTTCGTAGAACTTGCCATTAAGGCCTGTAACGTGAGCTACATTATGGTCAGAGAGTTGAACACACCGTTGCTGTCCAAAGGCAATTGCTTCTAAGATTTCAATTCTGGTTAGGGTTTTTTAACCTAAATTAAACTGAATGTAAGAGAAGTGAGGATAGATATTAGAAGATAATAACTTTCAAGAAGTCTTGCGCATACTTGGTGAACCGCTCTCCTACCAGATACTTGGTCTGGCCCTCCTCCTTCCGCTGAAACCGTAATTGCATATGCTTATGCCAAATAGCATCAAGCAACTCGAGGCATGGCAACCGGCGCTCCTGCTGTAGTGTTGAATTGATCGATTCCGCAATATTTGATGTATGGTGCCCATAAGTCCGCCCAGGAAAGTACGGTGCTGCCCACTTCGTTCTGTCTATTTTACTGATATAATCAGTAAGGGGAGTACTGAATTCCATAATTTTGGCTAAGATCAACCGGTAGGATTCCTTGGTTCGGGTATTTGCCAGTTGAGCCGATAGATCTCGTGCTTTTAGGCCAAATCTTTTTGAATATTGTCCTTAATGTGCTGGGTACAGTAGCTCCGATAGGTAACTGGCAATTCATCATCTGCTGATTCAAGGCCTTTATCCCGATCACTCATCACTGTAACCCTAGGCCTATCTACCTCTGGGATTGATTGACGAAGATGAATAAGAAAATAGCGCCAAGAGTCTTCCATCTCACTTTCCACCATCGCCCAGGCAAGTGGAATGGCATGGTTTTCAGCATCAATTCCCACAGCAAGAAGGAGAACCTGAATAAACTGAGTTTTGGTAAATGTTCCATCTAGTGCAATAAATGGCCGGCAGTGAAGGAAGGTCTGACGTGAGGTCTAAGGGCAAACAAAAAATCTCTTAAATGAATTTGTTTCTGGATCAAGGGCAAGATGTGCATACAGGTCAGGGTTTTGCTGTTCAAGAAGTCTTAAATACTGAGGAAGGCGAGTAAACTGATCCTTTTAAGAAGATAACCCGCTGCGGATTATGGTATATTTTGCCCGGGCTGCCATATCATGGGCGATAAGTTCTTGGTAGTGATGTTGTACCGCCTGTACTATCGCTCGAGGTTTTGTGTCATTTTCAATGACTAAAATCTCAGGGAGTTTCTTAATCAACCAGTTTAACCTACTCGCAGCAGTACGCTTAAACTAGGCTGAACTAACAAAGGTATGAACGGGTGAAATCGATGTAATAGCAGCATTTTGGGTAGCCGGCTGGACCACAGCATAGATACTGAAGGGACAGGTGGATAGCCGACATTTGATACTAATACGGGATGGATCGGATTTGTGAATTCGGTATGGAAATTTTGCAGTTACTGACCAATCTGCGACAGCGGACTTGAAATCCTGTAGGGAAGGGAATTCATCTCCTAGTTGAATGCTCATTTTGCTCTCGAGTGCGTCAACTTGGAAGTGGTAGTATACGTATACTTCTCCCCTGGGTAGGCTTCTTCAATCCATTATCTATATATGCACTACTATCCTGGGCTAAACATTATAAGTACTAGTATGGTGAAAGATTTTCATCAACAAATACGGGTGCCTCTCCTGTTGAACTTTAAACTATTCAGGTTTAGTTACATTCCATCAAATTTAACTGACGGGCATTATGTCATGACGGGCAGTAAGTAACCAAACTCTCGAATTTGCGGGCATTGTGTCAGTTTTCCGTAATTATAATACCTGAGAAACAAGTTGTAAAAGTGAAAATATCATTGCACGTTTGGCATGTCGAACAGATCCTTATTAGGTTTTTTATTCTATTAGGTCTAAAAACCTCATAAAAGGAGAAATTTGGGGAAGGAATGTCAGCAAAGGTGATCGGCTACATCATGAGACCAGAAAGCGAGGCCCCATCCGCTCTTTGGGGGAATTTGAATATAGCCCCATTTTTTTTTTTTTTCAAATAGTTTGATGCCAAGCCGTCCCCGCGGCGCTACATCTCGACGGGCAGGGCCATATCATACGCAGAGGTCTGAAACTCGGCTCTGGTGTTGGCGCTGTGAAACTTTGGAAGAGCCACTATGAAATTGAATAAGTGTCGAAACATCAACGGTTCCATGGCTCAGTTGGTTAGCGCGTGGTGCTAATATCAGGTGATGTTAACGCCAAGGTCGAGGGTTCGACCCCCTCTGGAACCATTCTTTTTGCAATTTTCCACCGCAAATTGGCAGGCGGGCAAAACCATCTAAGCGTAAGCAAAGGGCTATTCGGCCCGTCGTCGTTTTACGGGATTGAAAAACAAGAATCACTTCAACAGGTGTCAACGACACGTTGAAGGAAATACAAAGACGAATGCTTTTCAATCGGTAGTTTGCAAAATTCGTTCCACAATTTTTCGCTTCCAGACTCTTTGACAGTCCATCAGCTGCGAAACTGGTTTTATAATGCCGAACTGCTCTATAGAGGGCGAACCAAAGTCTCCCAAGTCCCCCCCATTTTTATTTCTCAGGAGCAGGTCACCAGTAGAGATGTTGAGATGAAAAGGCTCCATACTCAATATAGTATCTCTCAAGTCAAGGCGGCCGCAGCTAACTACCAGCCTGTCCTAAACCCGGAGACGTCATTGCGGGCCATGAAGAAAAGAAAAAAAATCACGTCTGTAACATCTCGTCCCATGTTTGGCTTATCATAATGCACGAATATCTTACCCCTCCACTCCCCACACCTCCTATTCCAACACCCCCAACACAATCCAATTACCGAGCAGGTCAGCTTCTCACCAACAAGAAACCTACCGAATCCCCCCCTCCAGGCAATACAGTTGGCGCAACTCCGAACCTAAATACCGAGTGATCCGTGCTGTAAATCTCTCCGGGATACACCTCCTCGCCACGGATACATACGTTGGGACTTCTAGGCGCCATTCGAAAACCTGTGCAAATATACAGTAAATGCGGAATCACACACTTGCCTCGGTAGGGGAAGATCGAGCATATCTCCTGCTTTGCGCTCGAGATGGAGAGCGCATCTGCCGCGGTCGGATGAGCCCAGCGCTAGAATCCACAACGCCCAACAGAGCAGGTCTGTCGCGCTTTTTTCTTTATTCTTTTCTTTTGAGGTTACCGTTGGGGTAATTTTGGAACTATGATACACTAGGGTGGAATAAACGAACAGTGTGCTAGGGCGTTGGAGATGCTTCTCCAGGTAAGGTGTAATGTTTTCTTAATATAATAATATTATTATTATCATCGTTTGTCTCAGAAGGCAAGCTTCTTTTGGAGTGTTCTCCTCGCCCCTTTTACTCATGAGGAAATTCCGGACTGAAGCGCCTGGCCCAATTACTCAAGTCCTTATGGTACCGCATTCGTGAGGCCGGATGATGATATTCCCGTTCATCTCCACCACCGTTTTTCTTAGCGGGAAGGTATGGGTGGAAACAAAGAGATTGACGAGTGACCGGTCATGAATCTCTCTTAAATGCCCAATAGGGTGTGAAAAAAGAAAAACAACATTACTAAGAGATATGCTCTAACTCTCTTAATAATAAGATATGGCAATTCCTGCTGCAGTTCTCGTCACTGTGGAAGTTGGTACTTACTTGCTGCCGCACTGTCGTGAGAATTCTCATCTCTTACAGTACCAGAATTTGTTTGCTCTCTTCCTAGTTTCTCTCTCCTCTATCCCATCATATCCCTTTCCTCCTTCCCCCTCCAGAAACTGCTCAATATGGCAGAGGAAGTGGTGCAAAACTCCTCCTTCTTTTTGTTTCTCCTCCTCTCATGCCAAGTACCCCGTCGCAGCAAGTGACTTACTATTCGACATTCCGTTATTCTTCCTCTCAACAAGTTAATTCCTAATCGCACGCGTTAGAAGTAACCAATTGTGTCACTTACGGTCACCGATGATCACTTTCTTCCGCATCCAGCCTGCTTCTCCCTCCCCCCCCACTTGAATTTGGCTATCATTACTACCCCTTCAAGACAGCTAGCGAAACCTAGTTGCTTTGCCCGACAGACATTTGCACCAATTATCCAACTAGCTCATCAGCTGATAATCTTGCGCTTACATTTCCTGGCGAGGGGGCATACTCATCCAGCCGTTTGCGTGCTAGTTCCTACTGCAGGTAGAGTCGGAGAATGGGCAGGGATAGGTCCTAGACAAGTGGAGGCCCTTTGAGGCATGGTATCATATATTCCTTGGCGATCAAAATCTTATTTAGCACTTCTGATTCCCCACTGCTCTCGCCTTTCCACTCTTCTCCCACTTGAGACATCCATTAACATGATTCACCCCCCTCCTCCTCCCTCTACACTTTCCGGCAGCCTCTGATACAATCCTGCACTACTCACGCCTGACGCCGGTCCCCCACCCCCCCATATCTCCCGGAGAAATCGACGCCCTGATTCGTTCGATCTCTGCTCATAGAATTCAATAACTGACAAGGCTTGCAATCTCAATTCCAGCTTCAAGGCTAAGAAATTCCAGCAGAGGAAGATTCTCGTATGAAGGCATTTACCGATATGCTCTGTATTGCTGTGAAAAACGCTGCTATAACGAGGCTGTCGCACGCTAACCACGCGAGCGTGCTTGCAGGTATCAGCACAATGAGCTGGGTGAATTGTTAGTGACTATCCACCGCGAATCCCCGCCAGGTGCAACTCAATTACTCCCCCCGGACAAGGATTCCCTTTAAGCAATTACCAAGCCCGAATTTATCCCTGTCGGAAGAACTCGGCATTGCAGTTGTGGGTTTTTATGGTTGAGACTTTCCGGCTGAGAGACGCCCGCTTATCAACCCAGATGGCTTTCCGCGACGGGGTGGCGTATCATGGATAAGCAGCTGCAGAAGACTAGGACCCCACCCAATCCCTGCATGCAAGGAGATACTTGCAATGCACAGCTTACTACGACGTGTGCAACAAAGATCAGCGGTCTATCAAAGGCCACGTTTTCGAACCAGGTTTGGAATCTCAAAGGACCGGTTGGCCATGGTTATCCCTTCCTTCGGATTCCAGGGAAAGGGCGCAGGGTCCACTGCCAATCTTCCAAGGCGCCCGAGTGCGAAGTTATGACCATGAGTAATCCAGTAGCTGTTGATATAGATATCTAACCTTGTAATGCCCTTTTCTGAGAAGGCTTTGCCACCCAAACTCCAGAAGGATGGTTCTGGGTATCAGAAGTCAGGTAACTATTCTACCTCCTACCCGATTTCGCGCATTTGCAGTTCCACTGTCCCACCCGCCCCGCGGCGCTCCTCCACGTTTGATACGAAAAACTCGTTGTGGTGCGCAAAGCGAACTCTTGTGGGGCGAGGCTAGGAGAAGGAGCCAAATGAAGAGGTACGGCCGCGACCCGGCCGACACGAAGGTGAAGGTGCTAGAAGGGAAAGCTTTGGTGGCAGTATGTGTCGGGTACCGTATGGTGATAATGAGTGATATCTAGCAATTGCGCCCTCGTGGGAGGAAAAGGGGCCTCTGATCAAGCCGACAAGTTTCATCTTCCACGGCGGCTTATACCCCGCCGGCAAATAGGCAGGTGGGATCCTTGTGCGGTTGAGTTGGCGAGCACGAATAATCACGAGCACACATGTGAAATACGACCAAACTCGGTATTCCTCTAAGAGGCAACCCGACAACACCCAAAATGCCCAGGTTCCGAGTGACCACTCATGTACCACTCACCCCCAGAAACTCCATGTCATACCTCCACTGCAAGTTATGGGCATATAGAACCCGAACACAGGGATAAAAAATTTGTATAGCAAATTGCCTGTGCATATCTGACCGTCCATACAAAATTTGGACACAAATGTTCGGGTTCTATATACCTGTAACTTGTAGTAGCCCTGACATTCCGCTAATTCACCCACGCACTCCCTTCCCCCAGCGGGAAGCCTACCACCACTACAATCTCCTTCAGCTACCCAATCCTATCCGCCGAGCCCAGCTTGTTATCGTACGAACGACAGCCCGTAACTTCCACAAAAGAACAGAACCACCCTGTGGACCCTAGTGACGCACAATTCACTATGACGCCCCACCTCCCGATGGTTCTTGTCATCCGCTTGATTAAGTCTTGGTACTCAGGTACAGCAAGTACCCTGCGAAACCAATGACTCGGTCCCCGGGTGAGCCCCCATGGGGCACAACACCCACTAGTACTCGTGTGCAGCGCCGCAGCCTACAAGAGAGAACAAGCCCCCTGTCGCTCACGCCAAAGCACCGGCCAAACTCCTCTCTCGTCATTGCTAGGTCTTTTGTGGGGAGGATTCCCGTAATCATGGTTATGATGGGCAGGGAACCTTCGAATAATAAATGTGGTTTGTGAGGCAAGGTAGGCCGGGGTTGAGCTCGCCGCAGCTTGGAGTATGTTCTGGAAGGATTCAGGGTGAAGAGGAAGGACTGTTGTCGCGTGCGGCTATGCGAAGAGGTGGGGTGATGGGAGCAGATCCGGGTAATGACTAAACCGATGATAGTGATGATGGAGAGAATGAATGTCAGTCTTTATATCATACCCCCTCACTCATGCTTTCATCTCCTCGCTCCTAGTAAATCTTCATCTCCATCTTACCTCTACTACACATAATCCCGTCTTCTTCACCTCCCTCGCAATCACTAACACCTGCGATAGCACCAACAAGCACATCCCGCCATGCCTCAGTAATTAACCCATCTCTCAACCTCACCCACTCCGCGAAGCTTAGCCATCTCCCCTCATCCATCAACGCACTTACTTGCATTCAATATCTCCCCAACCCCCCTCCCACCCACCAATAGCCTCTCTGAGGCTCGGGGCTTGTAAGCAGAGCTCTGAAAAAACCCCTTACGCAAAATACCGCAACGTAGCCACTTTATCCCTGGTTTCCACCCCCCCCCCACACACAGTAGAAAAAAAGAAATCCCCCCGTTATGGCTACCAGGTGAGTTTAGGTTTCCTGCATTGTATGTATGACGCCAACCTAGGCTTCCTGGGTTGGTATGGGACAGTCCGCTGGGGGTATGCTAGTTTGGGTTATTTTTGCGTGTGTGGTGGCGAGACGTTGGGATGCATGGATGAATGGACCAAGGGATGGGTAAATGGGTGTAACCCAGTTTCGAGTTTCGGAGTTAAGTTGGACGCCCGATGGAGTTATCATAACAAAGTTATGATACCACCGGCAACCTGGGAATTGGGGCTCACTCGATATCTGCAAACTTTACCCATTTATTTATTTACTCATTTACTCCCTTCCCTTCTCCAACCCCTTCTAGAAGGGAGGGAAGTGAGGGGGGGGTTGCTTTTGCTTTTGCTATTGCTTTCGCCCCCCATTCTCCATCCCGTTCTGGATACTATTCAGAACTGGGCTTGTCGCGGGTTCCCCCGGACCGCCATATAGGTATTAGGCTTATCGAGCTGCTATCGCACTCGCAGGTCTAGAAGCACAGAAGTGCGTTTGTGTCGTGTTTTTGCTCATACCAAGCGGCGACGGAGCCGCTCAGGAACTGCGGATTTGTCATGGTGGGTGTCAATCATTTCCAAGAAGGTTTTCCCTTCTTTGACCGTTGTGCTATAGGGCGGTATCCCATATTAGAGTTAGGAGGGGTAGAGACCGGACGAAATGGGAACATGAATGAGGGTTAATCGTGTCACGGTGCACCGCATTTGAAAGAACGGAAAGGAGGGAGGGAGGGAAGAGCTAGGTTTGCTATTGTGCTATGTGCCTGTCTTTGTGCTTATCCTCGTTTATGCTGGTGTTCCCAAGTACCGCGCTCGCGTGGTAGGTAGAGTACTAATGCTCGACTATAGTATGTGCTGTATGGAATGGTGGGGTAGGTAAGTATCATATGTAAGGGAGAGGTAGATCTAGCCCGAGGTAAGTGACTGACTGCATTAAACACGGGCAAGGGAAGGCACAATTCTGTGTGTAAATTAACAATTTGATTGAAATTGATTGATTGTAGATGTACAGTACAGGTAATAACGCAGGCGGAATTACGATATTACTCTGCGATGAAGAATGTCACCCACTGCGCTGAACAAGATATTCTTCTACGGAACACTGCTATGAGTGAGTGGATTTACTGTAAGTATTTTTTTTCGGTCGGTGAAGGTAGATTAACGATTTCATGGGCGTAAACTAGACCTAACCCCGTTTCCCGGGTCTCTCCCTTTCTCCCCCTCTCCCCCCGCTGGGCCAGCATCCATCCACCCATCATCACCCAGCGCAAAGAAATAAAAGACACAAAAACCCCCCAATTCCTCTCTCAGTAAACAAGGCAAACCCTCTTCCCAACCCACTCCCCGCCATCTTGCCCGATAACCTCTTCGAATAGCCATCTTCCCACATCTCCCCTAGAAATCCTATACCCGACCGCAACACCCTCCACATCCCCCCACTTCCCACTCCCATTTCTAACCCTCCCCGCGTACCCCGCGCGCACCGCACCCCCAGCCGGTCCATCAGTCAACAGCCCAGCCCTGCCAACAACCCACTTTAGCAAACCTTCCTCCGCACCAGTCACAACACCCTCCATCTTGACCTTGTCCTCATGCGGGATCTTGAGCATCCCGTACAAAGGCTTCATCACGAATGGCAATTCCCCGGGAACCAATCCTGTAGTACTGATCACCGCCAGTAAGGGCTGCTGCCATTCCCCTTCCGCTGCTCCACCCTTGAGTTCCCGAAGCCCGGATAATATGGCCTCGGCAGCTTCCTGGCATATGTGCGGATTATCCAGTGTCGGGCGGAACGGGTTCAAGCCGAACTTTGGCGCCCCGCCGATTCCTGAGATTATGTATTTCCGGGGAAGGGAAGAGTTCGTTTGTGAGCGGAGGGTTTCGAGAACGGCGGTGGGTGTTTGGACGGTGCCCTCTGTTATAGTTAGGTTTTGTAGGGTCCCCTGCGGTAGGCTTGAGAGTTGGGTGAGGAGATGGGAGGGGCGGCGGGTTACTACTCGAGTAGTTGGAAAGGCTAGGTCAGCTAATTCGCCAGGCAGAGATGTACGATACCAGTACTATACGGCAGGATGCGGAGACTAACAAGCAGAACACCGACACCCGCTCTCAAGCGCTAGCTTCAGCGCTGCAAGCGCGCATCCGCCTGTTGGGCCAAAAAAGGCGACCTCTTTGATTTCAGTAGTAATTGCTTCCGACATTTCCTATTATTATTCTCTTCCCTCTTTCCTTTGTGTTCCTTCCTCCCTTCTCGGCTCGTCTCGTCTTATCGCACACCGATCGATTGCTCCACCCATCCACAGCCGGCAGGGTTGCTTATATCATCCAATGCGGGGGAATCTTTATCCGTTTTCGTGCGCCACCACGCAACTTATCCCACCGAGAAGTCCAATGATGCCCACTCCCTTACCGTCCTTGAGCACTTGCACCGGAATCCTCGGGATGCTTCTTCCCCCCCGCTTCACTACTACCGGTACTGTGCGAGCACACACACTTGCATGACTAACATGACGTGACTTTCCTCCTGCGATCAGTGAAGTCCACCCACGGACGAGCAGCACCGGCAGCACCGGAAAATGTGGGTAACGCGTCCCGGGACCAGAGTAATTGCAATGTACTGTACCGCATGTACCTGTACAGTGCTGTTTAAACGCGGATGCAGGGTGGAGCCCAGAAGTGTGGGAGCGGGGGGGGGGGGGCTTTGCTTTTTCGAGAGAGAATGATAAAGTTATTTGGTTGCTTGCTTCCTTTCCTGCTGTCAGAACGAGCGGATGCAGCTGCGTTATCTTAGAAAATGCTGTGCACCCAGTGTGACTGTCCTAGGCGGGGATGACTAAGGCGCTCCCTCAGCACTCTTTAGTGATGATGGGGGTAGGTACGGTCATGTAGCTACCGTACCATAACTCTAATAATATTATTAGCAATGGTCTGGAGTTTGTGCAGCAACGAATTTGTAGTACTGGCAATTACTAAACGTTGCTTGTTGACCTGTGTCTCAGACAGTGACGCTGCATAACATTTTCCACTCGCTCACCAGTACAGTACAAGTACAGGAGACGGTGGATTGGGACAAGTGCCGTGCTGTGCCGGAGCGCAGCAGGGACCCAAGTCGGTTTGGGTTGTTTGGATCGGTTTAGATCTCGGGGTGACCGAGCCTCTCTCCTCCTCATTCATCCATTCACTCATTTATTCAGCAAGGGTAGGTAATAGTTTCTCTACAGACGATTTATATCAATATTATCCTAAACTCTTTTTTTCGTAGCGAGCGACCTGCGTGCACGGGCGTGGATACAGTCACGGGACTTGGGATAAAGGTCAGAGTACTGTACTCGAGTAGAGTAGAGCAGAGTAGAGGTTTGTCATCCATCGTGCTGCAAGAGGTACGGTAGAATATCCACGCTATGGTACTAGTACCAGCCTGCACCAGAGCCGCCGGCAGGGGGGGGAGTATCATACCCGTACAAGAGGGTGGAGATGGAGTGTTCCGCCATTGGTGTCACCTCGTTGGTCCTCTCTACCTACTCGAGTACCGGTATCATACAATACGGTGCTGTAACTTTCTATACTAGGTTTCTTGCCCCAACCTTCGTCGTTGGACACGCTAGCCCACTCTGCCAGCTACCATCATCACCACTCATAGGGACATTTGTGCCCCTCTTTCCCATGTCCTCTCATTCCAAGCCTCGTCAAGACTGGAATATTTCCCTAGATGGTGCCAAGGATTCGGTCCCGCCACTATTGTCGGTCCCGCAGCCCGTCGGGACCTTCGTGTCAGCCGGTGCTCGCCGTTTCGCGCTATCGTACCTCGGATGGTGGGGGGGCGTGCTATAATACAGTATGGTATACCTAGTGGGGGGAATAGTACCAGCAGTAATTTTTACCTTCTGGACTTTTACGAGTATCATACCGCATCATCATGATCAACGGGAACAGTGGTGGTGATGGCGGTTAAGGCGAACCCTTCGTACTAGTGCTGTACCAGGGTTTATGGATGTTTGCACTTGCACCTCTTTAGTGCTTGCTTTCATGAGCCTGATCAATCAATCAGCCAACCTATGAAGTTCTCAGTCCCCTCGGAAAAATACCGGGACCCTCAGCGTACTACGGCACCGGTACCACACATCTGTGCCAAACCTCACTAAATTCGGCCCTTGAAGGAGGGGGGGAGAATTTCTAAGGTAGGATCGTTGGAAAAGCACTTCATAAGAGAACATTCTGCCCGTGGATTGCTCGATGCAGGAAGCAAAGGGTTGGTTAGAATGGATGGTTTATATTATATAACGACCATTGTATATTTCTTCCATCCAATCTGTTGGCCACAGGGGCATTCATGGGGGTGGTGGTCGGAATAGGTTGGGTGAGTGAGTGGATGAGTGAGGAGGAGGGGGGGGTACGAGAGGGAAGGACGGGCGGTGAGCGGGATGTGAAAATAAGGTAATTGCTACGGATGCGGTGCTACACCATATGAGCACAGTTCAGTATGATTAGGCAGGGTTGCTGCGCTTGTAGAGTGCATATTTCACGTAGCTGTCTGCGTTTATAGATGCATACCCTACTGTACTGTGCTGTGATGTCGTATTGTCGATGCTGCTGTGCTGGGGTGTGTTGTGGTACTGGTATGCTGTGTGTAGGCGGGTATCATGGACAAATACAAATTGGTGGATAGATGTAGGGGGTATAATTAGTATAGTACGGTAGACGAAAGGAAAACCCCCCGGGAGCTCCCCGAGAGCAAAAACGAGGATATAATTCCTTGGCCTTAGCGCTAACTCACTTCATAAGGGAACGGGATTCAAAGGCTTGTGAACATATCGAATAACGAATCGATAATGCGCTCAAGTACGAAAGGGGGTTGGTAGGAGGAGAATGGCCGAGTAGGAGGGTTTTTGATACCAGCTTCGATAACGACGGCAAAACCATCCACGAGAATGCGAAAGACGGCTCTCGCTCCCGCGCTTTTTCCCCAGGTATTTTTTTTTCTTCTTCTTTCCCTCTCTCCGGTTTATCAGGGACGAGGTTATCAGACCCCTGGACTGAACCCTCTGCCTTGGTATTTTATTTTATTTTACTCGGGAGGAGAAACTTTTTTGGATGGCTGCAGACTGGGTTGGAGATTATTGGGTGCAGATTGGATGCAGATTGGCCTGGAGGGGGTTCTTCTGTGTATATGTAACCAACCTGCGGGTATATCATAAAAGTGCAGCGCAGTATGATACCAGGGATGAAGAAGGGTGCAGTAAGTCTGTCGGACTTTCCATGGTTGGCTCCATGGTTTTCCTGACCACTCAGAGAATGGTGTTTGCTCCAGCCACTGGGCCAATATTTCTACTGACTTTTTCCTTCGCCCAGAATCAGCGCAGCTTGCCCATCCAGTTGCATAATTATCGTCACACACACGTAAGGCAAAATCGACCAACCATACCAGAGTTCTACAGACCTGTTCAGGAGATGCCCTGTTTCTAGGTACTCGAGTAGAGAGGCTTTGTTGTGCCGCTTGTGGATGGATGGTTTTCTATTCACCTCTAACTTGCTTTTTTACTCTACCCTACTCTATACTTTTTCACTGGATGGAATAAGTGGTGCGACTCCAGAGCGGATGTTTCCTCTCACCCCCGTTGCTCGGGCGTCCCACATGGGGAAGATGGGAAGTTGAATGTCGCTTGGCTGGAAGAGAGGAAGACCAGGCTGCGCCATATGCCAGATCACTGTATGATATGATATGATTATATGCCCCACCGCAGACCATACTCTTCAAAAGTTTTATTCTCATAAGTACAGTATTGAAGCAAGGTTGAGTGATCGAATTGTTTACGTGAAGACATACAAATACCGTTAATGCTGGAGTGGATAAGGCCAAGTCGGGTGCAACGTTAACAAGAGACCCCCCAGATCACAATGTCATTCAGTTAGACTACGAGTACTCGAGTACGGGTACAGTAGATCTCAAATACAGCCAAGGCTGAAACCGTGATCGGAGCACCGGATGGGTGGTTCCGCTCGACATCCCATCAACATTGTCACCCTCGCTTTTCTGCTTCCCCTCCAATAATCATTACTACGCCCAGTGTATATTTCCTACCAGACACAGAACTATACTCGAGCACAGTACTCGTACACTTACGTCCCAGATCGCCCACTGCTAGGGCCGGCATCCTTCCCACTCCCCCCCCTTTCCCGTTTCACAAAATGTCACCCAATCTACTCCCTCCCCTCCCTCACCTCCCCTCTCCTTGCTCTTCTTCTTGCTACGGTATTGTGCCCTCTCCTCGCATTCGTAAATAACCTCCATCAAGTTTCTGTAGGGATAGAGACCACTATGCCTTTCCCATCCGTCCATCCCATACCCATCACTATATACTGGCGCAGGTCCCCTCCTGTCCCAAGGGTCTTCAGGGTTCTCCGGCTTAACACCGAGATCAAATTCGTAACCTCCTCCCGCTTTCCGACAGGGGATTAGCAGTCAGTCCATCCTCTCGCCCTTTCCTTGTTCCACTTCTCGCTCCTCCCTCTGAGTAGGAAACGAGTCCTCCCCTACCTCCCCCACCACACACCCATCACAGTTCAATCATATTTCCAATATTCGTTCACCCCCCCTGGAGCTCACCTTGTCCGGGATTGCATTCTTTTTTCCTTCCTTGTCCTTCCTGCTCCACACGCTCAGCCGCCAAGCTACCCTCTTCTCACTTATTAACCATTGAGTCTTCCGCTTCTTCAGGGACGTCACTTGTGTCCAGTCTTTTCTCGCTTTCGACAAAACCTCCCATCTAGTTCAGACTAGCACTTGGACCCTGACTTCCTTCGCCCCTGCCTGCCTCCGCTAACCTGCCTATTGGCCTTTTCCGGTACCGATCCGAGTAACCATCGATCCTGTGCTCACCCCCGTCAGATTCACCCCCCCCCGTCACATAATCATTGCGCTCTGCGACATTCTCCTACTCATACTATTGTTGCTGCTGCCTTGACCTTCCGGTCTTGATATAGGCCTCAAGGTACACGACTGATAAAAAAAAAAAAAACTCCCCTTTGTGAGCTCATTTCAACCTTTCCACCCCATCCCACTATCAGCAATGGCTACTACGGACTCTCAAGCACCGCAGCGAAAACGCAAGAGAGCTAGGACCGTTATTTCTTGTACCGAATGCCATCGAAGAAAGCAAAAGGTTGGTTCTATAACGCAAGAGAAATTCGTCTAAATTTTAACTCCATGAGTGCTAACCCTTGCTTACCTTTGACTATAGTGTGATAGACAACAACCATGTGGAAATTGTACCCTTAGATCGGCTTCGCACTTGTGCCATTACGAGAGTAAACCGAATGCTGCGAATAACAGCACCAATAACATCAGTCCGAACTCACCGATCAGTCCCAATGACTCGAATAGAAGTTTGAAAGGCGGGTCTCCCGATTCCACCGGGGAGTTATCACTGGCCCAGGTGAAGGACAGCACGGGTGGATTCGGCTACATCAGGGGGAGCGGACACACCGCGCTGAACGTCCTCGAGAAGGTATGGCAACTACGAGCCCAAGAAATCGAGTCTACGCAAGTATTGACAGATCGGATCCAGCTTGATCTCGAAGGTGGCAACTGGGCAAAGCCGAACATGGAACTTGTTGAGATCTCGGAATGTGTGGAGCTCCACGCGTACACAAAACACATTCGCCAGATCCCTCCTCGACCATATACCCAGCTACTTGTAAAAGTATTTTTTTCTGAGTGTAATTGGATTTACGGGACACTTCACGAGGCGACGTTTATGGCGCACCTGTATGAGTGGTTTGAGATTTGTGCGGCAAAAGATTCCCCGCACTCGCCTGTCAAAAAGAAGATTTTGTCGCAGTTCCCAGCCTTGTTGCTACAGGTGCTTGCTATTGCCCTGCAAATGCTCCCGAAGGAGCACTACAAATTCATGGGGCAGCTCAACCTGGGAAAAGAAAATTTTTACACGCTCAGCGCTACCTACAGTGGTACCGCCTGCGAACTTGCTGGCTTGATTTCGGCGAGCAGTCCCACGCTTCCCAGGGTCCAGCAGTGGTTTCTGAGGAGCTCATGGCTCAAGAGTGAGGGGAGGGCGGTTGAGGCGTGGCACGCGCTCGGACAGGCAATCAGGGAGGCGCAGGAAATGGGATTGCATAGGGAGCAGCCACGAAAATCACCAAACAGCCAAGAAAATATTGCGTGCATTTGGAACAGAGAGATGGAAAAAAGAGTTTGGATTAATCTTTACGTATGGGATCGGTATGATTTTTTCTTCATTCCATATTGTGCAATTTTTTATTCATCTTTTCTGATATGGTGACTACAGATTTATGGCAATGATTCTTGGTCGACCAACAATGATCAACGACCGCCATTGCAACGTCACACCACCTCTAGACTGCGAGTTACCTTCAGACCTGACTAAACCCCCAGTCCCAAGGGGTCCACTTGACCCACCTACTCCGTTCACGGAGAGACTCCTGGATTACCAGCTTGCCAATATCGTCAACGAGATCGACGAAATGGAGGTTAAGTTGGACAAACCTCTTAACCTCGATTTCTCGTCGATCGATTTGATGCACTCGAAGATCCTATCTTTCACGGAGTTCTTCCCACCAGCACTTGCGATCCAGAACCGAGACACATCCTACGACAATCACCATCCGTTCCTCGCTGCTCAAACCGAGCTCCTCAAGGCCTCAGCTTTCTGTCTTATTGTTGGTCTTCACAGACCATTCGTGTTTACCCGGGATCGATCCAAGCAGGAGCTTGTGAAGGCGTCACTCGTGATACTGGATTCGCAGACTCGCGTTTTCCAAATGACGAAGGAGCACCACCACACCATCTATACTCTGTGCTTTTTTACGTTTGACCCGGCAGTTTTGGTTGCTGCGGTGATAATCACTTCGCCAGCGTCACTCGACCCTGAGATCCTCGATGCATGCATGGAGGCCCTGCGCGAGGGCCAAAAACGCCTGGAAATCCTCGGCCAACGCATAAAACTTGCCGAGAAGGGAGCCGCAGTGCTCAGGGTTTTGATATCCAAGGCCGAGTCGGCAATCACTAGTGTGCAGCGAATCGACGGCATGATGAACCGAACGAGAATCTCGTCCCAGTCATCAACAACTCAATCAGACACCGACACATCCTCGAATTCTCCATTCTCAACAGCCTGTGCGCAGTCACACTCATCGCCCGCTTCCTCCGTATCGTTTCCCGAATCCTTGTCACACTCTCCTACGATGATACCCAGTCAGATTAGGCTCCATCCGGGGGACAACACAATGTGCAAGCCCGAGCTCATGAGCGACTTTGATTGGGCCACATACACGAATGCAGTAGTACCCCACAGAGATCTCATGTCGATGGACCTTGAGGAGTTCTTCGCTATGCCGGACATGGTCGCAGGAAATATGGACCAGGTAGGGCACGCCCACGCCCATGTACATGCTCAAGCTCACCAGGCCCAGCAGCAGGCGCACCACAACCAGCAGCAAGATATGTACTATGGCGGAGGCTGTGCTGTGGAGGAACAGCAGATCATGGGTAGCCCAGTAGGGGGGATTCAGGGAGACGGGTTTTGGCAGAATTTGTTGAATGTTCAATTTCAATGACAGTCATTCGTTTTTAGATATCTCTTTTCCTTCCTTGCGTTATAAAATGCTTTTTTTCCTTTTGCGTTTTTTGTTTATTACCTGTTTGTTTATTATTACTCTTTACTTTTTTTCTTCTCTCTCTTCTACTGCCTACGAGTAAGGCGTAGCTTAGCTTTGGCGGCTTGTTAGTAGGCGGTGGACGGATTGGAAAGAGTTTTATTTCCCCGTTTTCCGGTTTCGTCATGCTCTTTTTGGTGCTCGAGCACTCTTGCTCGCGGTTCTCATTAGTCCTCCTTCCTTCCTTTGCCCGAGGGTGGCTATCCTCATTTCATTTGCTTAAATCGGTGGGTTCCGGCTTTTTCTGTTCTTCCTCTTCATGTTCATTATTCTATTCTATTCTCCTCCTCCAATTCGGTTATTACTATTACTCCATTTTATTCCTTTACAATCGGAGTATTTTGTTTCCGTTTCCGGCTTTCATGGCAATGATGTAACTTATTCACGAACTCCCTTCTTTTTCCTCTCGAGTTATTCCCCCCCCTCAAAAAAAAAACCCCCATGTACAAGCCAAGCCAACTCATTCATTCACCATCTGTAACCTACACTTTACCAGCTATTAATGATGAGGACAACGGAAGTGGAAGTTGGAGGTTATATCATACCGGCATGAGTGGGTAAGGGTAGCATGGCCAAAGTGAAGGGAAAATATTCCAAAGTGAACTCCCAAACAACTTACCGGAAGCGAATGCTGAGGGGCCGACGAGAAGGGGAGAAAGCAAAAGTAAGCCCCACCAACCAAATATTCACCTCACCTGGCACCGAGTAATATTTTTTCAGGGCGCAGTTTTCCTACCATTCCCTTTTCCACCATCACCAACCACAAATCGATCAATCAATCAGAGAGGATTTCCCACCTATCATACCTGCCTAACCCTATCCGCCAGCTAGCCAGCGAGACCAATATCGCACCCCGCTTGGAAAGTGAGTCGCACACCACCACAGGGCGGAAAAGCGCAGTAACTGTACAGCATGTCCGGCACCGGCTGGTTATTATCTTGTCCCGGAATACGATGGTGGACCGGGTGATGAGCTGTGAAGGTATGTGAGCGGAGAGAGTAATTGGAGTGATGATTGCGGTTTGGGATGGGATGGGAGGGGGGCGGTGTTATGAGAGGGATAGAGTAATTGATCGGAGGCTTTTGAGAGCGTGGTTCGTACTCTTTCTGTTAGGGTGAGTAGGTGAGGTGAAGCGAGGTGAGGTGGTGGGTTTCGTGGTTCGAGTTAGTTTTGACGAGGGTTTTTTCTTTTCCTCGAGAGTGATGGAGGGAGGGAGTGAGTACTTGGAGTTAGGCTTGGTTTGGGTCGGGCTAGCTGGGGTGATCGCAGTATGATAATATGATATTACGCTAGAGCGGAAGTTGTTGTAAGGAGTGAGGGAGAGTGTGTTGTCTGGAGCACGATACCTATCCATCGTGTCTGCGATAATTCAGTAGGATATTATGATAAAACCGAAATCACACCACCTCACTCACTCACTCAACCCCCCCTCCCCTCAGTCTGTGCTATGATAGAATACTTCCCTCCCTCTCCCTCCCTCTCCCCCCCTTTCACCAATGACGTAAACCCCACCTCCCCCCCTCCCCGTCCGTGCACTCCCCCGGCCGTTTGTTACTTTACCGGTACTCGAAGGTACATTTGTACCGTCCCCATACAACAAGCACGCTTGTACCGTGTGTACCGTGTGTACCGCGTGTACGTACGTCCGCCCGCTTTTTTACAGTTGGCGGGAATGTTGCTTTGCGTTGCGGGTTCACGGGAATGGATGGATGGATGGATGGATGGATGGATGGATATTGATGAGTTGTTGGCTTTATTGTTTGTATGTATGCGTTAGTGCCGGGAGGGTGATTGTGGTGAATCGATCGGAGGAAGAGGGGGGTATATAGAGGGGGATGATGGGGGGGGGGTAAGGGGTTCATTCGTTAAGGTAAGAAAGGAAGAAAGGAAGGAAGGGGAGAGAGGTTTTTAGTTAATTGAATTGGATATTTGGGTTTTTTTCCTCTCTGATATTCCTTCCTTCTCATTAGGGAAGTATCGTACGGTTTTTTATATGGAGTGTGGTAGTGACCGTGGTGGATTTTCGAAGGGAAGAGAAATGGAATTGGAAATGGAGTGTTTCATGGAAGGTCACTCGGGTCGCCACGATAGTGGAGGACTGGGGGAGGTATGTTTCTATCATAATAGGATACGTATTGTCACGTTTTTTGATAACAATGCTTACCCCCCCCCTCATTCACAGCACCACCACCACCAACCCCGCCAAGCAAACCCGACCCCACCAACCTCACCCACAGCAACCGCCAGCCTATCCAAAAAGCGCGCCCAATCACCCTCCCTCACGTCCTCCCCCTCCTCCCCCTCCTCCTCGCCACCACCACCACCAAAACGTCGCGTCCTCCTCCCCTCCCTGCCGGACGAAACGGCCCTCCTCCTCACGCTGAAGGACACGCAGAACCTGCCGTGGCCCCGCGTGCACACCGCCTTCGCGGCCCACGGCTGGGAGCGCAAGCTCGCGGTGCTGAAGGGCCGCTACAAGGCTATCAAAGAGGGGGGTGTGTACTGGGAGGAGGACGATGTGGACTTGCTCTTCCGTGCCGTGTGGGAGGTCGAGAGGGAGTTCGAGAGGGGACGGTGGGAGGCGGTTGCCGAGAAGGTGAGGGGTTGGGGGGGCTGCGGGGGCAGGGTTGGAAGCGCGGAGTGTGAGAGGAGGTGGAAGAAGGGGGGGCGGATGGAGAAGGAGGGGGAGGGGGAGGGGGAAAAGGTGGAGGAGGGGCAGGGGAAGGGGAGGGAGGATGTGATGAAGGTTGGGAGTTTGCTGGGGTAGACGAGGAGTTTATTATTGTACCGGTACTACTCGGTCTTATTTATTCTTCTCTCTCTCTTTTTCCATTTGCCTGTTCAGTTTTACACATTCAACGAAGTGGAAGCAAGCAGCCCCTATCTATGATACTACGTGTATTGTATTATTATTTGTATTGCTACTGATTATGGCAAGGGATCCAAGGGACTTGTGCGGGTACGAAGGAAACGAATTCAAGGATATTTCCACAAAAAGCGGATACATATTCCGCATGTAGAGTAGTGGGCGGTGACATAATTAATCTCTTCCAGCGACATTTCCATCAGGACGGCCAAAGATATGATACTGGGGGACATTAGCTCGGCAACTTCCCCACAAAGTTACAAGTACGAGTACCACCACATGGGGAAACGATTGTTTCTATGGTACCATCCCGAGTAGCCAGCCAGCCAGCCAGCCAGACCTACGAGTATTCAATGATCGATTGAAAGGCGAAATGGTTAGCAAGATCCCATCTTTCCCCCAATTACCTTCCAGCGTAAAAAAAAACCTTGGTGCTCCCTGACGCACCGTTGCCGTGTTTTTTTTTCTTTTTTTTCCGCTATTCTCGGCCACCAAACCAGACCCGAATCGCTTTGGTAGGAACAGCCCACGACGCCTCCTCGCGTGTCTATTCCACAAACCCAATACTCGAGTACTCGAGTACTGGTAAAATACTGTTCCTCAAGCGCCCACCTCCCCTGTATATTCCCCGGATGGAGACATCCAGGTCCAACCTCTCTCCCTCTCACGCCTCCTGCGCCGTAGGGTACCGGTGCACCACTGGACGGTTATGGTAATTATGATACTGGTACCAACTACATTCTAGAACAAAAGAGGCCAAAAGCAAAAGGACAGAAAAACCTGAATTCCCCCCAAATCAAAACAGGCCCGTTCCTGCATCCGCCTCTTCCCCCGCACAGACCCTAACCAAAGAAAAAGGAAAGAGAAAAAAAGGAAAGAAAGAATTCCCCGAAACAATCATTGCCGGTGAGCACGGCAATGTATCCCTTTGCTCTCATTCCAAATAACTACTCAGTAATTAGGCATGACATCACAGTGGGTTATCACCTAACCTACAACCCACAGATGGCAATTCTTGTTAACTGAATTCCCGGGTGTTCCCTTGAGAGCAGTATCAGCGGAAAAGGTGTACTCAAGGAGTGGTAATGCTGGATGGAAACTCAGGTGATTGGCTTGGCATCAGGTGAGCGAGAGGGGGTAGTGGTGGTACACTGGAGGGTGTTTTGGATTGTTTGCTTGGGAGATTTGTGGTTTGAGCGCAGGGGTGAAAAAGTACCTGTATTAGGCGATGGCATGTACGATTTCCCCCTGAGAAGGGGAGCTCCTAGACCATGCTTACTCAAGCAACCGGTGTAATAGCAAGAGCCGGAGGTTGGGAGAGAGGATGGGTGGGGGAGTTGTGCGATCAGGGAGGGTGTACCATGACTCGGTAATTCTGTCCGGTTGGCTATTTTTTTCGCGTTCCTTTTTCTCTCCCCCACCCCCTTCTCTCCCGGTCTTTCTATCTACGGTGTTTGTATGAAGGGATATGATGGGCGGACAGATACGAGTACTGGCTGGCATATCATACGTGATGCAGGTACGAAAGGGGGGGGAGTATATCTCGCTCAGGGAATCTCTCTAATTATCCAACCGTGACAAACGAGAGGGCTGTACGGTACTGTACTCGGTACTGCTATCGTGGGCACACCGTGCTCGGGGGTACGCGATGGGATGTGGATGGACTAAACGAGATAACTTCACGGAAGTTGTTATGCACGGATCGGACTTCTTTGGATGTTTCCAGGACCGTGGGTTTGGGCGTTATTGATGATGATGATGATGATGATGGTGATGGTGACAATGAATACATACCAATTCACGACGCGGTCAGGTGTTTTGAAAGAATAGAGATCTACTCTATGTCTCAGGTAAACGTGGTCTGTGCGGCTGCGATATTCTCAACGAAGATGGCGGTGGCACGAAAGTGCATGATGTATTTCTGGAAAATTAAGGACTGCATTCCGGCTTCGAATTCCTTGTATAAAAAGGCCAAAGTTTCCTGGGCCTTTCCCGTACAATCTCACCGCAATATTGCCCCACCTACCAATAATTATTAACCTACCACTCGCTGCTTGCTACTGTTCTATGACACCTTGCTCCACTCCCTCTCTCCCTCTCTCCTCCACCACCACCACCACCACCACCACCACGTTGCCACACACACACACAAGCACAATGAATTGTCCTCCAGAATACCCCTTTCAAAGCTACTCCTACTTGACTCAACCCTTCTTCCCAACCACGGCACAACTCCCCTGCCCACCGTACCCATCACCCCAGCATTCACCGCTCTCCCCACAGCTGGAGCAAAAGTACTTCCACCACCACCACCCAACCACCTTCGCACTGGACCCATTCCTCTCCTCTCCCCCTCCACCCCCTCCTCCCGCTCCAGCGCTCCAGGAACCCATGTCCCCGACACTCCCCGCAATCAAGCAGGAATCGGTCCCCGAACCGTCCCCGGAACCCACCACCGCTACAACTACCGCCGCCGCCGCCGCCGCTACCGCCCCCGCAATGAAACGTCCCCGCCAGCGTGGACCCCCGACGAAGCATTCCGACACCACGAGCCGATATTTAATAAGTCAGGACAACGACCGCCTCTACAAGCTTAGGGAGGAACAGGGCAAGACTTGGCAGGAGATAGCAGAGGTCTTCAAGAAGGAGGGGAGGGGAAATCTCACGACGAACGTCATTCGTGTAAGATTCTACCGACTGAAGGATAAAGCTGCTGCGTGGGGCGATGACGAGGTTAGTACTTGCATCATCACCATCCTCCTGCAGGATAGAGGAAGTGGGAGGAAGGCGCTAATATGGCGTATATAGATTGAGAGATTGAAAGCTGCGATCGCGGACGTTGACAGGAGGAAGTGGGAATTTGTGAGTGCGAAGATGGCAGAATTGGGAGGCCCTGATGCGCGGAGGTTTGCCGCTGCTGCATGCGAGAGGAAGGCGAAGGAGATTTAGTTTTTTTATCACTGGAAGTAAAAAAAAAAAAAAAAAAAAAGAGGGGCAAAATCATAATTTATTATCAAGGTGTTTTGGGTGTGATGTTTCCGTTTCTGATTTATTCTTGGGTTTTGTTTATATCTTGGGAAGTGCCAACGCTGGCATAACTTACGGTGCGAGTGTGAGTCTGGTTTGTTTTGTTTCCCCTTCGTTCAGCAGAGATTCCTTAGCCTCCGCGGTTTCCTTCCCTCTTTCCCATCTCATTCATCGGTCTCTTCCTTCTTTCTCCCTCTCCATTTTTATTTTTATTTTCCTTTTATTTATGCGGCGTTTCAGGGTGGCTTTTTCTCCTTTTTCCTTCTCCGGTCTTTCTCGATGGGTATTCGGCTTGCTTCGATTTCCTTCTCTTTTCGGTTTCATCCCGGTAGTATACAGTATATATATATAGCTCGCGCTCTGCTTCTTGTCCCCGGTTAGGTAGGATCAGGATCGGTATCAATGTATAAGTATAATTTTTTTCCTCTTTTCTCTAGCTCACCTTTCACCGTCAGCCATTGTGATTCACAGTTTTGCGCGTTCCGCGAAGTATACTGTGGAGGCGGCTTTATATGATTCGCCGTGTTTGCCCTGGTTTGGAATGGAATGGGGAGAGTGAGGAGGAAGAGGTGGGTTTTTGCTTCAATATCTCTCTGGACATGTGTGACATGTGCGTGAATGATTATGATGACAGGTTGGGAGGAAGTTGAGTGGATCGGTCGTGTAGAGAGAGTCCCGTGATTTCGAGGTATAGCACAGGGTGGTAGGGAAGTGCTGGAAGAGTTGAGTTTGTGCGGGGTTTCCTTGAGATTGATGGGTGGGAAGTTAGGTCGGTTATATATAACTGGCTGGTGTTTGCGTGAAGAGAGTTTGCCGGCATTCAATTGCGAGAAGGTTGGAAGAATTACCCCCCCCTTATGCCTGAGAAAAGATTGCTATGGCAGTAACCTGACTATTATCGATAGCAATAACGCAGAATTGAGATTCCGACAACATTGAGAAGCTTCTATCATACTTCCCTGTCTTGATCTATTCTTCAAGTCTAATGTCTGAAATCTAACGCACTTTGGTATCAAAGCCCTTGGCAGACTTTGTCCAAGTCTAGTTCGGACTATCATCCACCCAACCATCCCAGTGATGAATTGGAAAGTATCACACAAGATGGTTACTGCAACATCCGGACACCGCGATGACCAGAGCACTTGTTCATAGTGTATTCAAAGCAGAACAGCAGAGCGCCTAAGCCGGCATAGGGTAGGCAGAGTCCAAGGCCGGTTTTTTTTTTCCTTTCCCCAGAGCCTGGCTCAGACAGACACGTAACATGCGTTGCATGCATGCCCACCGTCCATATATGAAGTAACAGTTAATATGATATGATACAATGGGGACGAATAGATTGGGGCAGTTTCACTTGTTGGGCACAGCGGCCGGCACACATGGTAGCCTAATTGCACAGGAGGGAAGGACATGGGGTGGGAATTTCCTCGAGCCGGTACAAACCGTGTGGGAAAAATGTTCCTTGGTTGATAGCTCGAGAAGGGGTTTCGTGCTCCATAATCTGGCTCTGGGATAAATTTCGTGGCCGGTAGGTCATTGCACTGTGCTGTGTTGCGCAGCACCTAATAGCGGACAAGGCCAAACTGCTGGGAGGGGGCCATTGCACTCTTCCCCCTTCCGCTCTCCGTGCCCGCATTCCAATCTCCAAACGAGTGATTACATAGGCACGCCTACGGGTGGCTGGGGATCTGGGTAGGTATTCAGAGACTGGGTTCTGTTGGGTTGATTGCGATGGGGTTGACTAGTAGGTTATGCATAGAGAAGCTCTGGATTTCTTTGTTGGGACAAAAGGTTTTATACAGGACAAGTGTAAGTTATATAGGAAAGGCGCTTTATTGGAAAATTACTGACATCAAGTGTTCGCGCAGGGACCAGATCCAAGGTCCAATATCCTCCCGATGAACGAGTCCACCTACTTGCAGGATTATGTGGTGACTGAGGTAACTGTGCTCGAGTAACGGCCTGTTGGCATTTCTTGTCAAAAATGCAAGAGCGATGATGAGATGGCCTGCGCTGCACTGCACAGCTTTACACTCTCGTCGTGTGCTCGAGCGGGTGCTGCAGAGCTCCACGGTACTTAGTTTGCCATAAGTCTCGCAACATGAGATGTGGCAGGGAACTCTTCCTTTCGTACTGGAATTATACATGAGCAAGACTGATTATGGGTGGTTATAAAGCTCTAGTATCTGATTGGGACTTGAATCTCCCTACTCCTGATATTTTTGGCGACCACATCAAAGCGGGAAGTTAGGATTGCATTCTGCGTTTTGGATTATGTCTATATGAATTATCAAGGCTTTGCACACTGGTTGAGCTCGCATGGCAAAAGCAGTTTTTCGGGGCCTTTGATGTCCAAAGAAAGTAAGAAAACACCTCGCTGGTACGAGCTAGTATGCCAAGGGCGGGTTATCTCCCCCTCTGTAGTAGTATCAAGACTATGGTCGTTCGGGGATCGTTTGCACCATATATTCTGTGTTACACATGCAGCTTTTAGGCTTGCGATTTGGCTTGTTGCCCAAGCTGAGACGCCAGCCACCACCACTGTCGCGTCCTGGGCTCCCACGCTAGCAACAGGGGGGATGGATACAATCCGACGACCAACCTCATTCTTACTTCAATCTCCCTTCCTGCTTCGCGATACCTCCCTCCTCCCTCCTCGCTTCTACAAAGGCAATTGAAAGACAGGAAAAACTTCGGATACCAGTCTGCTGTATGCACAAGCCCTGCGATTACCTTATGATCTTCACCAACAGTTTACTATATATATAATAAGCAGCGTTGTCCCGGAGCCCGAATTCCCGCGGAAATTAGCGTATCGGGTGTTTATCCCAGGATTGGTCATCCGGAAATAAATTTCGCCGGCGGGGACAGCGAGTTCACGGCCAACTGGAACTGGACCCCGCAAGTGCAACTGCTAAGGCCAAAAATGGTGGATAGAGGCGATAGGAGGGGAGAGGAAGGGGAGGCTCACTGGCTATCGTGGCCCATCAAGATGCTTTTGAGAAGGGGAAGCCTTTTCTGATTTGCTATGGTTGTGGAGCGCCCGTGTTTGGGGCGTTATTCTCGCTGTTTTTACACGTGATGGCGGGATGGAAGAGGTCATTTTGGACGACTATTTGAATGGTAAGGTTTCGAAGCACGTCAAGCAGCAATATGGTTAGTATTACCATTACCATGTGCCCTCTCATCCGCGTGTCAGTGCTAACTTGCCCAGGAATGAAATTGATTTGCAGGGAGATGACCCGGTCAGCAATGCTACTGGCGCGTGTGCGTGTGCGAGTTCTGGTAATTTTTAATTTACATCGGAATGGGGTACTGTGCTGTGCAATGGGTTTTAACTGTTAATAGTCAGCTGCTATTATGTCCTAAACCGCCTCTTGGCAGCAATCACGAAGCAGATGGATGGGGTGCTAAATGCAGCGTGTGGAATTGAAGGAAACGCCCCTTTTGTGCTTTCCACTGGGCTGGACAGATTCTACCCCTATTTCGTCAATAGGACACATAGACCATATGCAATTCCTAACACTACTGGCTTGCACCAGACCTATTTCCCAACGGGGGACCCGTCCCTGGAACGACCTATTCATTATCTTTTGCTCTGGGATATTCTTACTGGTGTGGAGGTTCACCAAAGAGACGTGATAACGGTCTGACGGGAGCTATATCACCAGGTATAACTTGTCGCAGTTTTTGTGCGACAACAATTTCTACCATAGAGTTGGGGGAGCCGCAAAAACAATTCCGTGTTGCTTAATATGCATCATGGAAGATACTTTCAGGCGGGATTTGGTTGTTAATGGTGGATATAGGTGGAGTACCGATCGCGCAGCGGTAGACGATATATAAGAGATTTACTTGGAACTTGGGTATCGAAAAGTATGGGAGATATGGTAAACAACTTTGTTCTCTTTGTTCAACACTCTCGTCTTTTTTTTCCCCTAAACTAACTGTAAATATAGGTGTATAAATAAAACATGAACAACATATCCCAATCCTTCCATAGATTACCACACCTATCTCTAGGTCTCCACACATGGCCCCATTCCTCCGTACACTCCCGTGATAACAAAGGAAACACATGTCTGGAGAATCTTCATCGTAAATTTTTGAACCTCCATAGCGATCTACCATGCTCCTGAACTATCCGTCGGACTCCCGAAACTTCCACAATCCACCCCAATCATCCAACGTCCATCTAGAACCTTCAACATTAGTAACACAACTCCTATGGGTAGCGTTTTTGGGCCATGGCTTGTGTAAGTGCCCTTTGCCTTGTCTCGGATACTATTATAACCGCAAACAGCGGTCTCCCCGCTGGGCCCGTCAGAGATGCTGCAGCGCGAACCAAGGCTGAAGGGGAAGTCTAGCCGTGCGGATGGTTCGGCGGTGGAGGCTTCCAACACCTCAGCACGGTTTCTGGCAAGATCATCCTTGACAATGGCGAGCTCGCCTCGGGCGCTGCAGTCTTCCTGTCTTCCTTGGTGGCCCGAGAATTACCATTCAGCAAGGTACAATACCCTAATGCGCAGGATGTACCGGCAGGAACGGCAACTCCAAATTTACCGATGTGCGCACGCAAAAGCCACGCGCTCTCCAAGCCTGGTCTAAAGGTGGGCCCGGCTCGATCCCCGGCGTCACAACTGTCCCTGTATCCGACGAGCTCACTGTCATTAGAAGGAGGACGACAAGCCTGGACAGACCGATCTAGGAAATACAAAATCAGAACCTCATCAAGCAGTTCAGAGACTTTGACCAAAAGTCCCTCAAATCTGCCCTCTCGGCCCGGCGGATAACCACGGGGCTGTAGGCAGCTCCCCGGATGAACCAATCTTACCAACAAGATTATCGCCAAGGACTGGTGTTTTTGGAAAAAGCGCTAGGGGTAATGGTTAGTCATCCTCAACCTCCCGGCGAATCCCATAGCCCTTCTGTGGTGTCCAAATTATTAATTGGCTGTTTTTTGGGTCTGGAAGTACAATTAAAGGCGCTGGGTCTGGACTGGAAGTATTTCTTAGCGGGGATCAGTTCAGCAATCATCCCATGCAGGTTGCCTGGGGTCCTTCGTTTCACCGATCGGGGGTGGCTGCAGAGTGGGGTAGTTGTGAGTTCAGTGTGTGACAGGGGAGTTAATTGATCACAGGACGGAATAAGCTGGATCTATTGATCAATATGACTGACAAGGTAGAGAGGAACTATGCGAAATATTGTTAAGTTTGAAGAGATTTAGGTAAGGTAATTGAGCACCTGCGGATAGTTAAGGTGTTTTATTTCGCAATTTATTAAAGCTGAAAGTTCAGGAGAGAGAGAAAAAAGTTCGAGCTTCCATGGCTTTCATTGATGCCTTTCTTTTTTGATTGATGGCGCTCCGTGACGACCCTTTGTAATTTTCTAAAGAGCACAGTTTGTGTTTGGTAAGACAATTGTTATAGACATTACTCCATATAAATTATCTTGCGGAAATAATCTTAATACTGAAATTTCTTTTTTCTTGATATTATACAAAATCACTACTCACCTCCGGCACTCCGGAAGTCGTATTGAATTGAGAATGGACCGTTTCCTTGACTTTTCCGGTAGTAACTGATCCAGTAGCAACCATTTCAGCAGTTATTGTTCTAGTAGTAATCATTTCAGCAGTAACTTTTCCAACAGTAACGACAATTCCAGTAGTCTCCGTTCCAACAGAAATATTACCAGCAGTTACTGTTCCTGTAGTGTTCTTACCGGTGTCTATTGTTCCAGCAGTAGCCTCACCGACAGTTACTGTACCAATAGTACCCTTACTAATAGCTACCGTTCTAATATAGAATATATCCTTAGATAGAAAAGAAAGTAAGAGATTAGTGACTGGAAGGGTTGGGATTGGGTCAGTCAGTATAAAAGTTCTGTTTGAAAGAGAAAAAGAAAAAAATTTAGAGAATTTGAAAATCCCTATTCATAATGTCACAATCGCCTCGGTTTGTCTCTCTAATATTGCTTACAGGAGAGGAGGAGGTATGATAACTATCAGCTTTTGGTTGATAACTACTTTATACCATACGAGAAAATAGTACTAGTACCGTATTAATAATAGACTACTGTACATGTACATGTACAGTACACAGGCCGACAGGAAATGGTCAGTTTTTCCATAATAGGAGAGGTGAAAAAAAAAAAAACTTACTCCTCAGTTGCTCCTCGCTAAACCTTTAAGTGTTACTTTACAGTTGATTTTACTTTCTCAATAATCATCGTTTCAAAATATAACAGTTGTGAGGTTCTTTCTTCTATGTTAAAATGCACGAGTGGGGGGGGGTGATAACTTCTTTAATACGGTAATACTAGTATTTGGTTTTTTTTTTTTGCAGAAGTGCCAGTGAGGAAGTATGAAAAAATGTAAAGAAAGAAGAAATAGATGAGGTGTGAAGATGAGAGGAAAAGAAGAGGAAGAGGATTTTTCCTAGATATATATCACAAGTACTTTGACATCACTATGTATACATAGGAGATAGGGGAAGAGTATGTTCAGTATTATTAGAAACATCATAGTAACCGCAACTTCACTGTAATGCTATTTATAGAGCTGTATTTTTGTGGGTGTGGGATGTAGATGTACTGTACTCAAACTCTCAACTAGTATCTATACATCATATATGAGGTTTAATTGTAATAATTATTCTATAAATTTTATGATAATATCATACACAGTAAACTTTATAATAGGCAAAAGGTCCAAGTACACCCAATAAAGTTGGAATAAGGATAGGAAATTGCCTTTGGAGCAGGTCAAGGAGTGTGATACTGAGTGAAGTGCTACCGGAATGAATTGTACCAAGGTGTATCATAGTCGTTTGGCTAGATGCATACTAGTGAAGAAATAAAAGTTTAAAAATAAATAAAACAAAGAAGCAGTAGAAACCATAGGCAGTATGGGAGACATTTGAAGCAATCCGGAAGTGTCCTCATGGTATCTTATATCAAATGTTCAGTTAGGATGTACGGAGGACTGTGGATTTTCCCATTTCAATTGTATCATACAACGGTGCACCCGTTGCCACCTCAAAGCAAAGCCGTTTGTAAAATTTCCGTTATGAACAAGGTGTATTTGTGTTCTGGGCGCCATATCAAATGGCAACAATGCGAGCTAATCAGTATACGAGTGATATCATATGAATCTTGCCCTTTTTTTTTTGTAGAACGTCCCATATCAACTGCTGAATTTCAGTCCTCGTACATGAAGTGAGATCATATCAGTTCACCTATGCAGTACGTTCACATATAAACATCTCGTCACTACCGAGCGCACAAAACCCAAGCCATAAGTCAAATTTTCGCCCTTAAAACAAAAAAACTCCCATTTGCCTAACTATGCTACGGTACACAAGCTTGCGAGCCATGCTACAGACGATGGACTCCGCTATTTGATTTAAAACTCGACACATATCCATACATCTATCTCCTCCCCTTCTTTTTCCCTGAAACCACCTTGAAAGCAGTATTAGTCTCGGGGCTAGCATCCCTAGCAGTTTGTTGGGTATTGGCCTTTCCCTTCGCAACCTCATTCCATCCACTGGCTCCACCGCCATTAGATGATCCTGCCTCAATGACAACACCGATTCTGGCAGCCTCCTTCCGACGGATAAATTCTGCAGCGAAGCGACGGCCGTCCATGGTTGTGGAACAGTCATAGATGGTATCAGCGATGAGGCTGGCGTCCAAGGGGAAGTTAAGCATCTCAGCAAGGAGTTCATTGGCTGAAAAGGTTAGCGTAGTCACACAAAAACACAAGCATAGAATTATCAGTTACCTTTGACCCCGTCTTTCAATCCAGTAAGAGATGCCATTGCCCATTTGTGGAATTCTCCCTCAGCGCTTGTAGCGGCAGGTTTGACTGGTACAACAGCCGGGACTACCTTTTTGGCAGTTTGTATACCAATGGTGCTAGACACAGTTCTTAACGGTTGGGCCGGCGCGGTCGGTGTAGAAGGAAGAGGGCCAGTGGGACCACCGGCACCCAGCTTGGATTTACCTCCGGGTCCGACGGTAGTCCATGCTCCACCAACCATGGGCTGAGAGGTCTTACTAGCGAGATCAGCGTACCTCTTTCCACTAGCAAGAGGAGCGGAGGGGATCTGCGCTGCCGCCTGGGCTGTGGACGCCGCGAGTGCTGCAGTCTTTGCTTTGCGGGCTTCTTCTTCCCTTTGAATTTGTGAAAGCGTCTTTTTAGCACCTGCACTCGGAAGGGAGTTCGCCTTGACCAATGGCTTAGCCCAAGCTGATGCAGATCCAGTAGCCGGAGTAGCGGATGGAGATGTTGCCCAGGTGGCTGTCGACGGGAGGCCTGGAGCCGGGGGAGGAGGCTGATTAGCCACTTGTTGGGCCATGAGCTGACGCCTCTGTTCTGCTTCGTGGGCCTCCTTGTTGCGTTGTTGCTCTGCCTCAATTTCCTGGATCTCCTTGAGAGTGAGAGAGGGTTGCTTCAATTCGTTATCCTTGTTCGCCCAAGGAGCGACAGAAGCACTGGTACTTGGGTGAGGATTCTCATTTGAGGGGCTACGAGCCATAGAGCTAGAGCCAACGTTGAGGACAGTAGATTGAGAACTGACTGGGGGAGGGAAAGGTTGAACAAGGGGAGCGGGTTCGGAGTTTTGCCACTCGTTACTAGATGTAGTTGGAGCTTGCGTGGGGCGAGGGGAAGTCTTTGTCGAAGGCGTCGACTTGGGAATTGAAACTTTTGGCTGCTCGGTAACTTGCGGCTGTGCTTGTGGTTTAACAGTTTCAGGAACGATGCCCCACGCGGAACTCTCCAAAGTTGGAGAGGGTTCCTCGCCGTGTTGAGCAGGGACAGCCCCACTACGTTCCTGGGCCTGCTGTGGGAATCTCTCATCTTCCCTCTCGTGGTGAACCCCGTAAGATTGGTGCTGTTGGGCTTGTGCGACAGCCGCCACTGCTTGTTGCTGAGCCTGTTGAAGTTCTTGCCGTTTCTCAACTTGCTGATGCTGTGTTTGGTATGCCTTCTGGGCCTGTTGACGTTGCATTTCAAGGATCCTCTGTTCCATCTGTAAGCGGTCGGCCTGAACATGTTGCTGCTGCTGAGTGAATTGGCTATTCTGTTGGAGCTGCTGCCCGGCCATACCGGGCATGCCATGTCCGCCGCTAACTCCAAAAGCATCAGCGCTCCCGGCGGCCGCACCGGCCTGCCTTAATAATACGCCCGGCTCGAATGAGTTCTGTCCACCAATCCCGACGGTTGTTGTAGTAACAGGAGTGGCGAACCCACCAGGGCTTTGCAGGCTTCCTTGTAAGCTCCCAAAGCTGGGTTGAGAATGGAGACTTTGTTGCGAGTGTTGGTGATGCAGAGCGTGTGCTTTTGCAAAAACTTGTTGCTGAACCAGATACTCTCGCTGCCTAGCCAAAAGGTACTGCTCCTCCTGCTTCCTTCTCTCCAGCGCATTTTGTTGGTCAGCAGTGAGGGTCGTTCCGAAACTCGGGAAACTCCCAGCAAACGGAGGTTGAACTGTGCCGCCAGTTTGAGGCTGTTGGTTCTCATTCAACCAGGAAGAGGAGACGGCGACTCCAGGCCAAGTGTTAGGTTGAGATGTGGTGGGTTGCACAAGAGCAGAATTTGCTGGAGCTTGAAGCGGGACTAGGAAAGGCTCGCGTGTGTTCCCTATTCTGCGCACCAGATTACCCAATTGCTCAAACTCTGGATCTTCCACCCTCTTTACAGCTAAATCCTGGGTGAAGAACCCAGTCTTGTACCAATCATGCATCTCTAAGCCAGAGAAAGGACCCTGGACAGTCCCACTAGGATCGCGATAGGTCCACTGTATCTTGTCCGGCATGACCATTACGTGTTGTTGTGGTGCGACGGTCCCAGGGGGAGGACGAATCTGTGGGGGTTGTTGAACAGCCGGCGGTTGGATACCGGCAGAAAGTGGTGCTGGTTGAGCCGGTTGATTCTGGTGAAGACTATGGATACCGGGTAATGGGTCATCACGTTCCCTAGGGTACAAGGTATTTTCTCCAGAAGCAGCCGCCAGATTGCCAACACTCCGCGTGGTATGCAGGTTAAAAATGTCCATGACTCCCGGCCTCTCTCTCATGGGGCTATCAGTGGCACTACCGAACCCATTTCTACCGCTGCCGAACGCATTACCGAACCTCAGATCACCGAAAGCGTCATTCGACTCAAAACCAACTTGTTGCAGTTGCTGCGGTTGTTGCTCTTCCTCTACTTGTGGCTCTTGCTGGAACAGCTGTCCAAGCCGGCTTGCACGGCTTGCCGATCCGTACCCTCCACCTCCAATACTTCCCATGCCACCGATTCCACCGCCAGAAAACGAGCCTCCACTGCCAATGGTGTTGGGACCGTTCAAATCGCCGAGCATACCGCCACTACCAAAAAATGAACTCGGGGCGGTATTGCTTCCAAGCCCAGAAGGCCCAGAGGTCCCTCCCCACAAAGTGCCACCACCCAGGGAACTGAATGACGCAAGACCACTACCGATACCACTACCCAGCCCGGCAGTAGAGCTTCGGCCGCTTCTATCGCTACCAGGAGCACCCACATCACCTCTTCTAAATCCTCCAATAATACCTCCCCCGCCGCCATTTTCTGGCATATCATCATCGTCCGCCTTTTCGGGTGCAGGGCTCTGATAAGGGTTAGTTTCGGTAGGACTTAATGGCTCATACTCATGCAGACCGCCAATGATCCCGCCAATACTGCCCTCCCTTGATCGCCCATGTAGCGGGAAGTGGCCCTGCTGATTCAATTGCAAATTCTGGAGCTGTTGATGCAAACCACCAACATTGCTGCCGTCACGCGTCGTACCTATGCCGGAGAAACCGAGGTCGCTACGGACTTTGGTAGGAGTAGAAACGGAATTGCCCTGCCGATTTTGAGTATTACTCGTCGTGTTGAAAGAATTATCTTTCATACGCTGCTCGAGACTGGGAGTAGGAAGCGGGGAATGTTGTGGCTGCTGCTGCTCTTGCCGTTGGTCATGGTCATGCTCACGGTCATCCCCATCCCCACCAAGACCAAACGGATCAGTGTCCGAGCTCATAGGTCGCTCGCGTTCGTGCTCTTCACGCAATCCATCTGGGTTGGGGGAGCGGGGTCTCTGGGTATCTTCAGCTTGTTCGTCCTCTTCTTCAACTTTAGGTTGCGCCGTTGAACCTTTCTGCCCTGTGTTACCGGCATTACTGCTTGTTTTCAGCTTCTCCGAAGAGGCGCTCTGTAGGGAAAACCCGCCCATTGCACCACCAAACACACCATTTCCAAACGTGCCCATCGGGCTATTTAACGCGCTACTCGCGAATCCACCTCCGCCAGTACTCCCACTAGGTCCCCAAGCTGTACTGCCCCTCCTAAACAACCCAGAACTTCTACCGCCGCTTCCCGAACCGTCTTCAACTCTCTCCTTGCCATGATCATCATCCCCAGCCTGACCAGATGTACCAGAAGTACTACCCCAGCGTCCAAATAAAGTCCTATCCCGGCCGCCACCCTCCCGAGTTTGGTCTTCGTCTCTCAACTCAGTCCTGCGTCTCGGCAATTGAGGGGGGGCAGAGCTGAAAGGAGAATTGGTAAGGGCGGCATCAGAGGTTTCACGGCGTCGGTTTGTCGGGCGATTGACACCGGTAGCGCCTGCACCAGGAGGGGCGGTAATTTTATTTCGGTTCTGTGGTGGGGTATGATTGGTGTTGTGATGATTCGTTGCTCCTTGATTATTTTGATTTGGGGGCGCCTTATGAGGAGAGTTCACATTGGAGGCAAACAACTAGTTACGTCCACATTAGTAAAACTACAGCCAAGTGTCGGCCCAAATGCATGAAAGTTTAGAGAAATCGTAGGAATAGTCAATAATATACCTCTTTCTCTTCCTCACTCATATCCTCCAGGCTAACAGGCTTCGATCCTGCCTCCTTATCCCAACAAACCTCAGCGCCGCCGGCCTCATCGCCACCCCTACCCCAACCACCGCCACTGCCCGAACCCAAGTCCCCGAGCAGTAAATCCTTCACCTCCCGTAAAGTGCCATTCTGCTCCTGTGCCTTGAAGATACTTAACAAATCCTCCTTACCATAAGAAGTGCTAACCGCGCTTCCAGCCCCACTCCTATTAAAATGATGTGGCGGGTGATAAACGTTCGAGGCGGAAGGAGTTAAAGGAGGTTGAGAGTGCTGTGAGGTAGGAGGATGAGTGAGGGTAGTGGAAAGTGAGGGGCGACGGTGGGAAGAGTTAGATGTGCCATTAGGACGACGAGACCTAGAAACAAGGGTTAGATCGCTCGAAGACATGATATTCGCTGCAAGGCCAAATTTAATGTACAACGGCGGGTGTGTCGGGGGAGAGGGATAGGATGAAAAGATGAAGAGAACAATTGCGGCGGGAGAGAAGGAGATGAGGTGTGGCGACAGAAAAGGCTTTGACTTTTTTTTGATTCGGCAAAATTGACCACTTCGGAAGGCTGGAGATCCACCGGATGACGACAAAATTTTGCAGTGGGAAGGCAAGGATCTGTGCAAAGGAGAAAAAGAAAGGAGCATATGCTCGAATAGGGAAGGCGGGCATGATAAGTTTTAGTGGGTACCGATATGTGTACAGTAGTAGAAGGGAAGGCCTTAATTTTCTCCCTCTCCCCCTGCAAATACGCAGGGAGAGGGGGGAAGACGCGAGGGGCATTCGGCACACAGCATTGAAACAGTCCACCGCAGCAACAAAGGGGAGGATAAATTGATGTGAAGAACGGGTAAGAGAGGGGGGAAAGAATGGATGTAAAGGGTAAAAGATGGAGAATGAAAATAAAAAATAAAAAATAAAGGTAAAGACGGTGCCATGAACGCTCTCACCAATCGCCTGATCCCCCTCCTCCACTGCCTCCGCCTCCCGGGGCCGAAGGATTACCAGAATTATTGGCAGTATTGATCCCACTATCCTTTCCACCGCCGGCAGTTGTAGAGAACGAAGATGCGAAATGAGATGATGTAGACATGGTTTGTTCTTTGTGTTGAAAGATTGTTGTTCTAAAAGTCTGTCGAGTCTCTTTGGAGAATCAGCGGACAGGAATATGTGTGTTGTGTATGTGCGTATGTGTGTTTGACGACTAGAAGTTTGAAGAATGAGTAAATCTAGTGGACAGAAGAATAGGATTGTAGGGACGCGATGGATGGGTGGATGGGTGTGGGGATGAACGGAGGGACAGATGTAGTGACAATTGTGATGACTGCTGAAGGTAGTTTTTTTTGTTTTTTTTTTAACTACCCTTCCAGCGGTGGGATTGGATTGGATAGGATAGCGAAACCTTTGTGTCTGGCTAGGGAAAGAATTGAACGTGAGTGGGATAAGATTGGATAAAGTGTTGGAAGGAGGGGGGGAACTCACTGGACAGATCAATCTGTTTGAGTGCTGTTTCCGTATGGGTGCCGGTATGTTCTGTTCAGAATTCGGGGGTTCGAGAAGGTACAGTAGGTTGGGCAAAAAAGTGCAAGTGTGACTGAACATGGGAAACCCGAGAGCGTCCTTTGTGTGTAAATAATGTTAATTTGGGAAATAAACTTCCCCATTTGGCTATATTTATCATGTTTAAATTGAACTCATGACCAATTTAGGTACTATTAACCTTAATTCCACTCCCCACAGACGCTGAAGTCGTTCAAAAGCAGCACAAATTTATTTTAAACCTTCATCAGCTATTGGATGGACGGTTTTTGGCAAAAAGAGTGTTCACGAGTTCTCCAATCTTCCTGTCGATCCCAGCTCTAAGAGCTCAAGAAGTAGGACAACATATTCCCTCACCGTGCGAGCCACCACTGGTTGACACAAAAAATATAATACCTTACTCCAACCAGCTACGCAGCTGTGGCCCGCGATACGATATGCAAACCTCATCCACTCGTAACCTCTCTTTCTCTCAAGGAACAATGCCGTGAAGAAAGCAATTATAAGCCAGACAACTACACCCCACCTCTAATTAAGATAAAATAAAATATAAGCACGATATCGTACAGTGCCGTAATACAGGGGATCCCAAAAAACCATCTCACAGCAAGAGAAGAAGCCCTAATTTACCCCCCCCCCGATCGACAACAACGACATGTCACATCTACCGCTTCTCCCTCCTTCCCTTTCTTCCATCCCGTTCCCGAACCCGTCACCTGCGCACACGTGAAGACGTGAACGCGGCCTTCCCGGAGTCTTGTCTCAAATCAGTCCAAGAGGCTGATGGTTTCCGTTTGAGGCGTAGCAGTTGCCTGCCGTGCAATGGGTAAACCTCATTCACAACCTCAGGAGTGGGGAAACATTTGGCAGCGTTCAGCTGCGTTATCGTTTACCCGTGTAACTTTTTACCCTGCACCGAGTCAATGCTCTTGGGGTATTGCGCCAGGTGGGGCCTCACTCAATTCGTCCTGCCTCATCCTTTGGAGGGAAACATTTTCTCTGGGTGCGGGTTGGTTGGTTGGGTTGGTTTGGTTGGCCAACCCTCTGGGGGGGTTACACACTGACTTGACTTGACATGGCAGGCTTTCCCATCGCAGGATTCCTCCTCTGCTTAGTGGGTCGGTTGCCACTCCGGCATTCCGGCCTGCCGTCTTGGTTAACTGTGCCACCCCTATCAGGAGGAGACCAATCAACAGTATCATTGTCCATGGAGTAAAGCGATGAGATCATCAATTATCACTCGAGAACCCTACTCGCCAAAGTCAAAAGCCTGCCCCTGACCTTTAACTATGCACAGACGACCGCTCCACCGCCACAACTCGCCTGCAAGAATGGTGCTCACTTTTCGCAACCTCCCAATACTACCAGAGACACTGGTTTAAGGGGATATTTTGATTTATGAGCGATGGCTATTGGCATAATTCTTTCCTGTTGTGAAGGTCGCTAGAGGAGAGTAATAACTGTGTTACCACTGGCGGCTATACCTTGACGGTAGACTATTGATTCTGGCGAGTACTTTTTGTGCTGAAAGCCTACTGGATACGCCAAAGCACGGGTATGTGAGAGGGAAAGTGAGAGGAAATATATGGCGATAGCTCGCTCGATTAACTGGGTGCCAGTGATCCGAGTGGGTTCGGGAAATGCACGGTCCTCTACACACCTCTCACATCTCTCGCGAGATCATAATGTCCGGGAGACCCCAAGTTGAACAGCTCGTGAGGAGACAAACCCCGTATCGAAACCCTGACACTTGAAAGGATCACTTGTCTGTGCCGTCTCACTCGCCAGCCGTTTCGTAAATCGTGCACACATTATTCGATGAACCTCAGCCGAGCACGAGGGGAACCAACCTTACACGATTACATCTCCTGAAGCAATCTTATCATAAAAATCCAATATACTGCTTCTCGGACCAGTTCCTGTAGCGACATGGTTCCGTGGAAACTCCCCGGATCCACCATCCCCGCAAACCATGCAACCTCCGGACTCAGAGGCAAAGGCTCCTGGGAAAGTTCAGCGCTTTCCTGACAGGCACGTGACAAGTTATGAGATCAGCCCACTCGGTGTGTTGGATCTTGTCAACAGGCATTTGCAATTCTGTTAACCGGTCAAACTAAGCCTGCCGTAGGCTGGAGGGCTTATTTCTGCTGGTAACTTAATAATATGATAGTGTAAAGTAGGCTTTCCCCCAGCTGTGCCAGGTCCTGTTGCACACCTAGATGGATTGCAGACTTACAGGTACTTACGACAAGGCACGGTACGCTGGCAAGCTTTGTGATGCGGCCGGTTTTTCTCTATCCTGCTTTCATACTCGTCAAAATCAAAAGTCTGCCCCCCGACCTTTACCTATGCACAAACAACCGATCCACCACACCTTGCTTGCGAGGATGACGTTTACACCTCCCAGCACTACTGGAGATACTGGTTTCGAGAGATACTTAATTTAAGAGTGAGAGCTGTCGACGCAACTCTCCTATCGTCAAGGCTGCCAGAGGAGAGTAGTTGCTCTGTTGCCACTAGCACTCGCCAAGGAATAACGCTCGCAACAACACCGCATTGGAAGACGCAATTTCAGTCCCTCAGGCTCCAGACTCTGTGTCCAGTTCCGCGAAAGGGGGTATACCTGTCTAAGGAGAAGAAATCAGTACCCGGAATTCAACCCATACTTTTCCGGATATACAAGTACGATTACCCGCCGCCTACGGAACAAGCAAACATCCCTTCCCCACCACTCGAGCCCCCTTGCATCTTCGTGAGTTCTTTCAAAAGCGATTGTGAGCCAAATAGCTATTCGCCATGACAAATTCTACATAGCGCAACCAAACCTACCAGAAATTTCCCATAGCCTACCCAAGGAGCACCCGGAACAAGCAACACACGGAGCTTCGCCAGAAAAACATCACCATTCACTCATCGAAATAAGCCCGTCCTGGGGAGCCCTTGTTACCCCCCTCCGTTGTCGTGCTCTGTTCGACTCACCGAATCCATGTACTGTACCGTACCCTCGTAGATGACGTCAAGTGCACCAGCCCGTCTGGCTTAATCCGCGCATTTCATATACAGTAACCGTACGCACCGTACTAGTTACAGTACTGTACAGTGCCCGACACTGGACAATCCGTGCAGCCGTAACACCCACAGCCCAGTACAAGCAAACACAACCTGCCCACACCCAGCACAAACATTTATCAATATGTGCTTACCCGCCTTGTGGGCTACCCTCCACCACCACCACCCTTGCCACTCACCGCCAACAAATAGCCCAACCCCCCCCCCCCCACACACACATCCCCTCTGCAAACGCCGAAAGCTAATGTCAACCCAGTCCCAATCGACCACGACCGCAATCCTCCTCTCCATCTTCCTGACCATCGCGGTTGTGGCGGGAATCCTAATAGCTTGGTATCATGGTTTCTTCTGTTTCACCTCACGCCGTGAGTGGCAGGAAAGAAGGGCACCCACTCGGGAGTGGGGAGTTCGGGGGACTTGGAAGTCGGCGGGAGAGCGTGATAATGGGTGGGATGCGGGGAGGGGAAGAGGGTATGGGGGTGGGGGTGGGAGACTTACGGGAGTTGCAAGGCCGGGAAGGGTGTATTCCCCGGGTGGGAGGGGCTTGTGGAGGGGAAGTTATTGAGTATGTGGAGGCTGTTTGTTGGTGAGATGGGAAGTGGGCATCGTCATGGGATATCACTCGCTTTTATGCGCGCCCGATGGGTGAGCTTTTAGAGGGTGCAGTCAGAAGGGGGCAGAGATGTGCGCATGTGTATAGTGAGAGGGCTAGTCTCTTGCTATCTTAGGAACCAAGTGTTGTTGGGATTGCATCTTTCGGGGTCGAATTTCCTGGTTTTGAGTGCGCCACTATCTAGGGAACAGTTCTCAGCTCACGGCAGGTCAAACTTCACTCAAACCAGACCTATATCGCGATCTTGATAGAAAAAACTGATTGCTCCGTTTTGGAGTACTTTCGCACAAGAACACCCTTTGCAAAACCAATACACCTGTGGCCAATATGTATCAAATCTCAAACTCATTGTGACCCCCATTATGCGCACCCACAACCAATTACTTCTTCAATCCCAGATCCTCAAAGAAAGCATCACTGTTAGGCTCTCTGCCCAAGAATTCCTTCAAAGTCTCCATCTCATCGCGGCTCCCACCCTTCTCCAACACAGTGTGCCTGTACCGCCTTCCTTGCTCGCCGTCCATGGGCGCCTTCTTGAACGCGGTATAGAACATGTCTGTGGAGAAGACCTGTGACCAGAGGTAACCATAGTATCCAGCGTCGTAACCGCCCATAAGATGGCCGAAGGTGGCTTCTCCGTGGCCGAAATCCTATCCCTTGTTAGCAATAGTCAGTCAATAACCTAGAGTGTTAAGGAGCATACATCTCCAACACCATTTGGTGGGTCTAAAAGCGCGATCTCAGTTCTCAGCCTGTTGTATCGCACCGAAGGCTCAGCCTTGACCGCGTCACCGTGATTCTTATAAGAGTGCATCTCCATATCGAAGAATGCAAAATGCAACTGTCTAAGATTGAACAGCGCATCATTCACGTGCTTGGTGTTAATAATTGTCTTGACCATGTCCTGTGGAATCTTCTCTCCAGTCTTATAGTGAGATGATAGTGAAGTGAGTTCGGATTGGGTCCAGCACCAGTTCTCCAGCATTTGGGAAGGAGCTTCAACAAAGTCACGGACGACGTTGGTGCCATGGAAGCGAGAGTAATATGTGATGGACACGAGGTCATGGATACCGTGACCAAGTTCGTGGAATAGAGTAACCTTTAACTATTAGTCTTAACCACAACAGTTACTGAACAAGACTACCATACCACTTCCTCATGTTTTAATAGCGATGGCTTGGTTGCAGTGGGCTTGGAAAAGTTGCACACAAGAGCTGTTGCCGGATAGTGACGTTCTCCCTTCTTCCCGGTAAATCCCTAATAAGCCATTAGTATGGACAACCATCACTTGAAGCTGCGAGCCCCACCGGTTGAAGATTAAAATTAGCAGCATGGCCGTACTTCCCTTCACGGGGGTGAAGGTCCAGATACAACCACCCAACAAACGTTTGCTCACTGCCGTCCTTTGGCTTCTCGTTATAAACACGGAATTGCTTGCAGTCCTCGTGCCAAGTATTCTTTGTCTCATCAGTAACCTCCACAAACTCCAACCCAAAGAGCAACTCAAAGATCTTCATCATTCCTTGGATGGTATGGTCGAGAGGGAAGTATTCGGCAATCTTTTGTGCGTCAAGCTTGTATTCCTTCTCGAGAAGTAGACGATCATAGTATCTAAACAGACATTAACACAAACCGGTCGCGAGAGGCTCTCTGAACACACCTATGATCCCACAAGTAGTAATGACCATCATTTGTGATTTTCTTGTCCTTGGTATCTGCCGCCTTCAACTGCTTCAAGCGACTCTTCTCCTTTTCTCCACCAGGTGCCAATTTCTTTCTCAAGTCTGTCAGAAAAGCAAGAACCCTTTCAGGATTTTTGGCCATCTTCGGTTGCAAAATAAACTCGGCATGGTTCTTAAATCCCAATAGCCTAGCCTTCTCATCTCTAAGCTCAATGGCCTTCTTGAACAACTTGCTGTTCTCATTGCACTTGTTTTCATTACCGAGAAATACCTTCTTCCTTGTCTCGGTGTTGATGGCGTACTTCATAGTGGGAAATAGATCAGGGTACTTGAAGGTCAGGCGTAGCTTTCCCTTGTTGTCCGTGTTGGGTTCGCCCTTGGAGAGCCCAGATAAGACATCCTCTGGAACACCTGCAAGCTCCTCGGGAGTAAACCAAATACCGCCATTCTCTTCATTCAGACGCTTGGAGAAATCGATTCCCAGAATAGACAATTCCTTCTTAATCTCTTTGAACCGAGCCCTCTCCTTCTCGGCTAGTCCAAGGCCGTTTCTAACATAACTTTCGTAAACCTTTTCGAGAAAACGAGAAGATTCTGCGTCAACATCAACAGCTTTCGACTGTGGTGACTTGTTGATGGCCGAAACTAATTTGTAAATATCCTCTCTCATGGAAGATTCGATTCCGAAATCCTAATGGTTGTCGTCAGCACCCCCATCACGCAAAACAAAGCATTGTGAAGCGGTACTCACGTCGAGTAATCTCTCCGCCTCGCTACTGGCATCCCTCAACCCTTTATTAGTACTAACATACTGATAAAAGCCTAGAATGGCAGTGTCAAGCCCCATCTCGTTCTCATCCTCGGCGAGTGGTTTGAGAACATTCTGAAAGTTGGCAGTCTCCGGTGTAACGTCCTTGGCAATATTATCCTGAAGCTGTCGAGATGTAGCGATGAGCCTGTTGGTCACCTCGATAACCGATTCTGGGGTATGGGTAAACTCTGGAGCCGGCGGAGGCTTCGGGTACCCGGTGGTCATACTGGTAGTAGTGAGTGGCCTCGTGGAGGGTTTTGGGATTCTGTGCTGTTTAGGGAATAATCGTAGGATTGCGGCGAGTCGATTGACAGGAGCCAGGGTGAAGCAAACGAGGAGAAAGAGAAGCAAGGAAAGTAGGAGCCTTTTAACCGATGCCAGGGCGGGCAATGGAAGGAGGGGAAGGGGAAGCGGGGTGAAAGTGTGGGGTAATAGAATTTGGTTGGTGGAGGTTTGTTTGCGTCTTGATGGGGGGGCTCTGGTCAATTGTTGTGTGGATTACCGCGAGATGAACGAGCCTGCTCCTCATCCTCCGACCGATTGTGAGGCTCATCTGAGCGGTCATCTGAGCGGAACAGCCCGCGTAATCCCCACCGATACTCTCAAAATGAAGGAAAAAAGAAACGAACAAGCAAAAAATTATCCAATACAAATATTTGGAAGTGCGTGAAGATGGAGCAGTCATCTGGAATTTAAAGGTCATCTATCCCTTTATTCACCACTGGTCCCCTTGCTTGGTCCGCTACCCGCGTCCCCGCGGCGTCGGCTACGAATTTCGCACAAAAAGGCCGGCCAAGCAAGTTGATCTCTAAATATCCCACTCCGGATCCCATTGAGGGCCATTCTTCGGAGGGATGATCAACTACCAGTACTGGCATAGCGTTTTGTCCGTCGGTTCTGTTTTTTTTTGACATTTTGGCATATCCTTGATTTTGGTATGTCGATGTAGTCTTGGCTCCTTACATAGAATTGGAGACCGAGTGATATTTTGATGAGACGCTGGGTAAATTAACTTAACTGTCATCGGAGACAGGGTGGTATATGATAGTCTATCTTGACCCTCAAGTGCCTTGCTTCACATAATTCTGGAAGGAGATTGCTTGTCATACCACTATTTATCGCTTTGTCCCCTTCCAGCTTGGAGTTGCCCAGACAAAACTCATACCAAACACATGTTAAGGCCGAGTCGGCGATACGGGGATAGATAAATAATATTGGATATCATACCAAACACAACCGTCTCTACTCTCGTTGCCTCCGCCCTCGATCAGAGCACAATTCCAGCTGCCTCAACCGGGACTCTCTGAGTGTGTAATATTCGTCCTTAAACCTCTGATTCCTGAATAGTGCAACAATATTACATGACACAGGGCTTCCCTTGTTACCATCGTCTCTATAGATTGCTCAAACTCACGAGTAGTTTCCTAGATATGGGGTCACTCGCACGAGGTGCCTGAAGTGTTCGCTCACGATCTGCAGGGTGAATGGGTATTTTTGTACATATTCATGCTCGCTTGTTACTGTACAATGTGGTAGTCTTGCGGGATAAAGATGGGACTCCTAGCACACTACCAAGTTATATCAGTCAATATGTTTCCTATTCTGGAAATAGTAAAGGGTTTAGTTGAGGTGGATGGTAGAGATTATGCTAGCTGTTCCTTCAGGAACCTTGTCCATCATTATCAATTGATGCCACTAGTCGGAGAATCTTGAAGCTTGTCTCCATCTCTATCTCTAGCGACAAGACACACGGCTGCTTTCATATTTGGAACGCTTGCTCTAACTCCAATCACCGAGAGGCCTGTTGGGGCTGGAGCTCGCCTGATTAACTATTGCCCACACTGTATATCAAATATCCTGCGTATATTTGGCAACTCGTGGTATAAAACCGAGAAATGGGTAAGAGACGACAATTAAAAAAAGAGCGGAGAGCATTTATCACATGGTTGGTCTATCTATCAATCAGATCACCATTAACAAAAGATAATGAAAAAACCACATCACCACCTGGCCTTCAGCACAAACCTCAAACAACAAATTACTGCTCTCCATCCCTCTCGGCAGCCAACCTCTCCTCTAGGGTCGCAATACTCCTCCCACCCCTCCACTCCAGCATATTCCCCAACACCCAATCCATCATCAATAGCTCCCGATGCCTCTCCGCCATCTCACTTCCGACAATCCTGTGAACAATTACATCCCTCAACTTTTCCAACACTTTCCTAGTCTTCCCAAGGTCCTTGGTGACCTTCCCCCTCAACCACTCATTCCTCCGCTTGACACCCTCGTCCGTCAGTTCCCGCGTGGCGTTGATCAGATCGGATATCTGCGGGAATATCAACTCTGGGAAGACCATTGTTATTTTCGTGATTAGAAATGTCATAGTGCGGTATTGGCTGGCAGGGGTTTCGGTGTCTGGAGCGGAGAAGGATGTGAGTATCTCGGTTACGTGTGCGGGTGTCGTCATGTGTTTTAGGAGGGGAGTGAAGGCTTTGCGTGTTAGCGTGTAGTAGTAGGCTAGTTCGAGGTCGGGAATTGGAATGGGGGAGGGGTCGAGGCGATCGTGGGTTACTATCAGCGGTGGATAGTGGGTGAAGTGGATGGAGGTGAAGTGGTCACGTCTAGTAACCATTTTTGTTCTTTAGTTGGGTTGGTCGGTATGCGTTGATGTTTTTTTCCCTGCGACTTGAGCTGAGCTGGTTGGTGGACTGGGCTGGAAGATGTGGTAGTTTTCGTAGCATTTATTTTACATCATGAAGGTTCTTGAAAGTAGATATTTTGGTGCTTGAATATCCGGATTTCGAGTGGCCGAGGTGAGGGTCAATCTTCCTGAGGAGTTGAAAATCTGAGTGCTTGAAACAGCATAATTGGTGGATATTTCCCCTGCCCTGTGCTTACCGGTATTTCAAGAGTTGCGAGATATTTAGTAGTGAAACCTTGTTCTTCCTAGTCTAGTCAGCGGTGCAAATTTGGGGGATGAGAACTGAGTGTTTGGAAGTGCCTCGCCCAAAATCAAGATAGCTGTCCAACAAGAAGTGTACAGTATCATGCACATCTGCGCGTAAAGTCCTCGCTGATGGGGGTTACTGTGGCGAGGTTTCGTTTACAGTGAAAGCACGAGTATATCATTATCTGCATGTGCTGGTACCGTAAAAACTCAAATAGAAGAAACATGTGCTTTGGAGTAGTTTTAAAGTTAGTCATGCCAAGAAGCTAGGATAATCACATCAATACAAATTATGAAGTATGAGACATATAAATTCTAAACATAAATGTTTCTTTTTTTTCAGTCAGTATCACCGATGATATATTCTCCATCAAGTTCATCATGTTCAACCTCCAACTCTGGAGCTTGATCTTGTTCCTCCTCTCCATTCTCATCCTCCTCAACCATCCCACCAGCCACCATTGCCCCATCTGCCCAGTCCTTGATCCTATCAACAAACAGGGAAGTGTCAAGACCCTTGATGGAGATTTTGGAATCTGGACTTCCATCTATAGGGAGTGAGAGGCCAACTGCTGTGAATGTCCGTTCAACAACATGGGTCTGGTTCGTTGTGAACCTTTCCCAAGCCTCACTGACAGCCCAGGTACAAAGAACCCTTCTCCTCCCCACCATACTTCCCTGCAGTCGACCTCTCTCCGCTAAGACCCGCTCTTCCTCAACCTCTATCTTGTCAACCTTTTCTTCCAGAACCTCCTATGAGTAAAGAAGAGTTAATAACAGTATTGATGAGTAACCCCTTCTCTTTAATTTTCATATAAAGTATTAGCGATACTAACCTTTAAAATATCTTTATAGGGCCGATTGATAGATATGTCGAGGGGCTGAACCATGCTGGTACAGCCCCCTGGTATCACACTTAAGATGATATCGTGGACTTGTATGGTATTCAAAACTTCATCAGTTTTGTGACCACCAAACATGTCGAGGGCCATGAGAGTTGGCTGGCTAATGAGTATAGGTATAACCTGCTCATCAAGCCATTCAACAATTTTTGCTAAATTAGCATAGGCTTTAGGCTTGAACTTGACCACAACCCGGGGGTCATATAGTGCCTTATCAGCCACAATTGTTGGCCCTACCCCCAAATCACGAAAAAATACAAGAGGTTTGACCCAAGGGACTGCATTAGTGAAGATGGTAAGTTGAATTGTTGCCTGTCTTTTTTTCCAACCAGACTGCTGACTTCCTTGTACCTAAATTGTTTTCTTGTCCTGCTGATTATAGGTTCGACCGCTAAGGTATTCAAATGGTAGGAGAGTTTGGTCCAAATTACAGATATTACTCAATCTGTAACGACTAACCTCCCCAGGGGTATCGGGAAGGGTAGATGGATTGCGTGGTAGTAGTGGTGAGTTTCTCCGATTAAACTTCGTCCAGTTTACTAATGCTTTAATATAATCGATAGGTAGCTGACTGGCCTTATTAGTTATTACACATAGAGTAATCTTGTGCCAAGATAAAAAACCCTGAAACCACCCATTTGAAAAGCGAAATTGGCTAACCATTGTATTGGAATAGGTTTCGGTATATAAACATTTCGCATTCTGGTGAAACCAACTCCGTCGTACAACCTTTCCTTCTGCTCAACGTTGGCGAAAATATTCATATAATTTTCGCTCCATATCGACCCATTTCCTTCTCCTTCCTCTCCCCTCTATTTTATGAAAACTTGCTGATGTCTCTAAATAGCTACCAGCCTTTTCCTCCTGCTGCCATCTTCCAAGATTCCCAAACGAGATCTTAAATTGTTCAGCCACCTCCCACATAGTAGGCTTTCGAAACTTGCTAGGTCCACAGGGAATCGAAGCTATTTGCTGCCAAGACAGGACTCGCAGCTTGTAGTTGATGGTATAGGACTTGTGGCAGTTCCGTACTTTCTGAGGAGCTGTCTGAGGTCTTTTGCTCACTAGCTACTGCTTTGGTCCTTGCTTTTGTCGCTATGGGGTATAAAAGGTGCTGGCTGGAAGCTCTGGAAACATAACTGTAATCTTAGAACGGGCGCTACCTTTACTTCGCTAGTTTTGGCGCACCATTTCGTTTATTATCGTATTTGAGTAGTTGATTTAGGAAGTATGCTGCTTGTAATTTATTACAATGTAGAAGTAGTTCAGTATTTTCTTTGTTTATATTATTATTTATTTACATTTTTTATGACTTCCATGATATTTATTAATCTTATTGGGTATTAACAATATCATGACTCTGATAGTGATGAGTTGAGGTGTAACGATCCCTACTTGGATAGTTAGTTCTTGGCGACGGGGAATGATAATTCTCTTCTTCTGTTTCTTTCGTTAGTCTTATGATAGCACTAGGCCTCTGCCTACGTTACCGATAGTACAAAGCCCTTGTCTTCTATCGGGAATGCCTATCGTAAGCTTTCTCTAACTCTTCTTCGTGAAGAGCTCTCCTTGGTGTAACGATAATATTGCAATATGGAGTTATAAAAGTTTTAAGTCAGGTGACCAAGGAA